AGAAATTAAAACTACCTCAGTAATTTTTTAATATTATTTAAGCCAATAAAAAATATTGTACATTTTATAATGAGTGATCTACTTTTGCTTTTGACATGATAAGAAATTTGATTTTCCACGTAATACATAGGCCTAATAGAAAAATAGAAAACTGAAAAAATAATAATCTGAAATAAAAACGGCTCAATAGTCCGTTTGTTTTTGTTTTTTTTCCAATGGCTTCATTCATCTCTATTCAATTAATTTAATTTCTATCTGTCTGAGCTAACTCAAAGATCCAGTCTTATTCTGAAGGAAACATCTTCACACAAAGGGGATGTTTGAGGAGAATTATTAAGCAAGAGTAAATTAAATCTTACTCTCTGTGTTTCTCACTGATAGTTTTAACGAAAGACAAAAATGTGACTAGAAAATTCATGTTTGCAGCATTTTGTCACAAGGTCATCAGCTAAATGATGGCGAAGATCTAAAATCTAATTCCTGCTTCCTCTGTCAAACATCTCCCTGAATCTAAACGCTGCTCATCAACTCGTGTCGCAGTATAACTTTGTTAGGCCTCTTCATTTACTTTAATTTCTCTCCATCTTCATTATTTGTGCACAAACACACACGCACGCACGCACGCACACAGACACACACTCTCTCACACACACACACACACACACACACACACACGCCTGAACAAACACTCACGTCAAACCGAGGCCGGACCGCAAATCCTCAGCTGCACAGCAGGGAGAGAAATCCCCGGAGTGTCTCTCTGAAGCTGTCCGGTTTAAAGCTCCAGGAGCCGGCCAGTCCCGCCACAGCTCCCGGGCCGAGTCTCCGCGCTCCTGGAGCATTTTTCTCTATATGTCAGTTTGTTGAGACGCGGATAAAGAGTGACGGTAGAAGAGAAGACACAAGCCTTTTCCTTCTTTTCTTTTCTTTTTTTATATGCACAAAACTGCTTTTTGTTCCCCCCCTCTTTTTTTTTCATTTAAGGGGGAAGGGGGTGCTCGTTTTTGATCACATGATTACAATTCACCTGAGATAAAACAAAGGGCGCAAAGAAAGGAGGGGAGAGGAGGAATGAAAGAGGCAGAGAATCAGACAGAGAGATGCACTCATGGTTAGGATTCCCCTTATCACAGTCAACATTCATGGATAACGAAAAAAAAAAAAAAAGTGGTGATTTTTGGATTGGGGGCCAGTGGGTCGCATGGCGGGGATACAAGGGGTCATTGTTGCGAAGAACAGCGCTCGTGTTTGTCTCCGCGCGGCCCGTAATGTCCCCTCTCGTCCCTCCTTTTCTGCGTTTTCTACCAGCGCTGTTCGGTGTAAAAGCTGGCTGTGACTCTCACAGAGACGCTGGTGTAATTATCAAACTCACACACGAGTCTCCTTCAGGGGGCCGTTCGTTGATTAGAGAGTCTTCACCTGTGACGTGCAGGTGAATAGAAATATTCACCAATATAAAACAATTATATTGTTGTATATTGTGAATGTTTGTATGTTCTGCTGTTACTCTAACATGAGCCGGTTTAAATCTTGTATCATAAATGAATAATATTATGATTTAGGATCGACCTGCTGTGATTAACATCTCAACTTGTACATTTCACCCTGAAACAACTTCACTGCATCAAACTGGAGCCGTGATCTGTCACTGTATCCTGCTGATTGTGTTTCTGCGCAAAGGCACAAAACCTGCGCAACGTTTTCTCTAATAACCGCATCTTATTTTAGAGATACTGGGTGAAGTTCAGCCTCGGTCTGCTCTGTGAGGCGCAGTTTCAGCCTCAGACCAAGACCTTTCTTAATGTGTGGTTGATCTGACAATGACCGGCTGTGGTCTCGCGTTTGTTCTGAAATCTGAAATTTAAACTTTAAATCCGTCACACTGACAGTTGTGTTCAGTGAACAGGACTCAACCAAGAAACTCCTGATGCTAAAAAGTGCGAACAATTTATGTCCTGGGCTCGTGCACAGTCTTCATTTTAATTGACCAGCTACTTCTCCTTTGCAGCCGTGAATAAAACCGTTTGTTTTCAGGGAAAAATGCAAATGCAAATACCTGTACTGTAAAGAATATGTATTTAGTTGATAGCGTATTGATATAATATTGATTGATTGATATTAGGATTCACGCCTTGTGCATTCTTTCTGCGTAAAATGTCATGCGCACAATTTACGCACGCTCATATCTCGTATTCAGACTCATTAGAATTAGAGAAAAAACAAAATCTAAAATTTCTAAAGAGAGGGAGGGGGGGGGGGGGGGGGGGGGCGAGAGAGCCAATCAGAGATCTCCCAGCCTGCATCCCTACATTCGCGCTGCTCCTTTAAGACTCGTCCTCCCATCCATCTTTTTTTATTTTTTTCCCTCGGCCTCATACAAGGAGCTCTTTAAGCCCCGGTGCCGTCACACAGAGCAGGCATTCATACTCGGGCAGCGCGAGCGAGGGGGCTGGGGAGCGAGCGAGCGTCACTTTGGAAACTCGGGAACTCACGGATTCTCGTGCGAAACCGGCGACCTCCTTTTCTCATTACTGAAGTAAGGCGCTCCGCATTTCCAACTCTTTCCTGTGTAGCTGCTGCATCGGAGTCAGAGAGAAGAGCCCCGAACTCACAGTTAGAGATCGATCAGTCTCGGGCTACCTCTAATGATCTTTAACATCGACATGATAATTGGTAGTAGTTTTCAGGGTGTGTGAGCTGGGTGTTGTAGTTTTTAAATCTGTAACATTTGAGATGAAACTAAATGTGTAAATGCTTCAATTCGCTATAAACCATTAGAACAAGTTTGATGAGGCTGATTATTGATATTAGAACAGTTGTTGTCAGTTTAACAGGTGATGCTGTTTTTAATTGATTTCTGATGGTTTCCTGTTCATGTATCGTTGATTCTCTTTTGTTCAGACAGTTTTATTTTCTCTTTTCCATAAAATTTAAAGTTTAAGATTTTTCTGTTCGACTAACCGAGAAGACTTCATTTAAACTGAGAAAAGCAAACAGCTGAAAAAGCTTTTTTAACGATGGGAGTTCTGACAACTCAGTGACAAATATCAGCTATTGTAAAACTGCAAAAAAAAAAAAAAAGTTTCAAACAAGCAAATTAAGGCCAACTTATTGGCAAGTCAAGCGGCGATAATGAGTTCACATACCGACATTCATCCCACACAGTAAAAGCGCTCAGTGATGGAAATTAACAACAAGTCTGATTTGAATGGAAACAGACGATGAGTCTCTGTTGATTCACTTTATTGGCTCGTTTGTTTCTAATGTTTGTTAAAGAAATAACACGCTTCATAATCAACACGTTCACAGACCAGAGGGAATTATCACCACCAGTCCTTCTAATATTATAATAATGATAATATTATAATTGGTTTGTGGGGCAAAACACGGACAACACGTGCGCAAATGAGGCGTTTTATTTAAGTACCTTGCGCTGCTGCTGCATCGTGTCTCCGGGACGTGACGACGGTCCGTGAAGCGGCCCCGCGGACCAGGTGGCAACCGAATATCATTCATCATTAACGCGCCTCGGACAGATGGCGAAGCGTTAGAGACACAAACACCGGCTGCGAATGAATGGAGACGATTCCCGACATCCACTCCGGTGTTCAGGAACTTTAATTACAGAGCCACACTGCGCATGATCTGTCGTTTAACATCTATTTTAAATTAATATTCCTGCATGACGCGTGTATAAAACTCACGTCTAAATATAAGGCTGCAGGTTAAAAAAAAAAAAAAAAAAGAAGTGGTGAAGCAAACGTGAAGGTGCAGCAACCAGAGGGTTAAGTGACTATAATCCACCACTTGACCTGCACAAGAAAACAGCAGCTCTTTAACTGACAGCCGACTTCACATAATCACTAATTTTCCTGCAACACGACACCGAAAACAAACCGGAGTCGCCGGTTCACAGGAAGTGCGCTGATTCAGGGCGTAAAGTTGGAGGCAGGGTGTTGATTTAATGGACAAAACAAGGACACATTTTGCTCCTTGCCGTTAAGACCTGCCCCTGTTTTAACAACCAGACTGTGTCTAATTCACACACGCGTACCGACACACGCACGTACACGAGGTTTATATTTCCAGCGCCCAGGCTGTGTTTATCCAAGGAGAGCCGGGTATAAATCCAAGGTCTGTGCTGCTGCGGCCTCGTATCATTACAACACTTTCTCCCCCGGGAGCTTGGAATAACTGCAAAACCTTAAACAGTAGCTTTTCTCTTTTTCTTTTTTTTTTTTTTTCTTAGCGGGAGCAAATATATAAATGTATATATAGGCTACTTATTGTCACTTATATAAAAGTGACTGAACTGGTGCAGAAACACTGAATAAACAACTTCATTATGGAAAATCTTTGTGTAAATGAGCTGAAATGAATCAGTCCTTCTAATCTGGTCTTTTCAATGACTCCAGGACATTCACAAAATATCATTTAACAGTCATATCTGTGTGAATGCTGTTATGTGGAGTAACTTTTTTATTGGGGGCAAAAAAATCTGGGGGTGGGGCAATCCTGTGATCCCCCCACCCCCCCTCCCCTCTGTCTTGACCTAACCTCAATAAAATAAACACACTAACCAGGTAACGACACCTCCCCACTGGTCACAGGTGTCGGTCAAGTTTATCTCGGACTGTGAGAACTGACCTCCTCATCACTCTGCTGTTTCAGGTCTTTGCTGCTGGATTTCAATCGCGGGACACACGGAGGAGAGAGAGAGAGAGAGAGAGAGAGAGAGAGAGAGAGAGCGAGAGAGAGAGAGAGAGAGAGAAGGGGGAGAAGTGAGACCGGGTGAGTTTGGCGCAGACATTTGTGCATTAGCAGGTAAACTGGGGTCCAAGGTGCGCACTGAGCCGCCTATGATACCAACAACACGGATGGAAAGAACTTTAATGTGGAACCCTCACAGAGTTTTGCAGCGGAGGCTGAGAGTAGAGACAGACTGGCAGTTTATATTATAACTTAGAGGAAGCGACAGATCAGACCGCAGGCAGCCGACACTCCGTGCGTCACTGTAGGGACAAAAACAAGCGCGAGGACCCGACAGGTAGCTGAGCTGTTAGGGACAGGCCGTGCGTCCTCTGCGCACCCGGAGGTTTGCGGTAGCAGGATGTCCAGAGAGGAGCAGAGCTTATCGGAGGTCGAGCTCAGTCCCGGGATGTCTGACGACAGTCGCTCCCTGTCGCCGGGTCATTCCTCCGGTGCGACAGGCGGGGGGGACTCGCCTCTCCACGGGCAGCAGCAGCAGCAGCAGCCGCCGCAGCTCGCGGGTCTGGACGACGTGTCGGCGGGCTGCTCGTCCGCCAGATCCGACGACGAGGACGAACGCTTCCCGGCAGGAATCCGCGAGGCGGTGAGCCAGGTGCTCAACTGCTATGACTGGACCCTCGTGCCCATGCCCGTGCGCGTGAACACCGGGGGCAAGAACAAGCCGCACGTGAAGAGGCCCATGAACGCCTTCATGGTGTGGGCGCAGGCGGCGCGGAGGAAACTGGCCGATCAACACCCGCACCTGCACAACGCGGAGCTGAGCAAGACCCTGGGGAAGCTGTGGAGGTGAGGAGGCCACTTTATGTGGACTGTAGAGTGCTGACCCACTGTCTGTCATGTTGTGGTGATGCTCAGGAAGGAAGGTGTGGACAGGCATGTAGGGGGCGGCCCAGGTATGGGTTGGGTTTGGAGATTAAAAGTAAAAATATAATGTTCTGGATAAATCTTCAGCTTTCAGGAAACACTCTGTGAAAGATCAGTGTTCTGCTGGGTCAGGGTTTATTTTTAGGTTGGGGGGAAATTAGCTCCAGATTAGAGCGGGACAAAGGTCAGTTTCAAGAATGAATGCAACTGGACAAAACAACACTGAACAGCCTTCCCCCCCCATAAAGGTTTTCTAAGCTCTGACTGGCAGCAGCTTCACCTCAATCAGCTGATCTTTACCTCCCCATCACTTCTGTCCCACACTTTCATTTTCATGATTCTCCCTCATATGGATTTAACACAAGCGTCACACATTAGTGGATGTTTATAGTTCTTAGACAGAATGAGACAACTGCAGGTTGTTTGTGCACGTGCAAGTTTCCGTCCCTCGACTTTATTCTGTTTTGTCTTTAAAGCCTTAATTCCCTCACACAGGCTCCTCCACGCCACTGTGTTCTCTATTAATGTTGTACATCAGTTGTAACTTTCAGGAGGCCACGCCGTCTCCTGTCCCACTTTTCTTTTGGTCACAGCTCAACAGCCATAAGAGCCACTATCTGTGTGTCTGCTGTGGATGTGTCACGGTCACATGTCGCTGAGATCAGGCTCATTTCATACGCTGTCTCATTCTGGGCCGTGTGGCTGCAGCGACCGGCTCCTGAGGGAATAACAGGGAGTTTTCAGAGCCATTCGACTAAGTTACAAGTATTGGAAGATGTTATTTAAAGATAATCTTCATATATTTAAGTGAATAGTTAAAAGTTATAGTTAATATGACATAGCTAGAACTCCTGCAGCTCTTTAAGCTTAAAGTCTCACACAGACCCCGTCCCTGTGCACAATATCTGCTGACAAGGAAGGTCAGAAAGATTAAATTCATTAACCTTGTGAGACTGGAGCATTAATTAGATGAAGACTTGACCTTGGGCTCGGGGCATGATTGGCTAATTAGCCCAGAGGCATGATGAACAGAGAGGCTGGGGAAGGTCAGGGTTTTCTCATGCCATTCCTGCCAGCGGTGGTAATAAGGAGCTCAGTTCCCTGTTTTGCAGACAGGATGCTTCTACAGCCGCCATTATTTCATTACTGTCCGGCAGTCAAAAGCCCCTGGCAGGCACGACATTACATGCAGCTGTGCAGATGACGTGAATGAATAGCTGGAAGAAAATTTTACATTCTCTTCGTAATATGTTAATAAGCACCGAAACGGGATCAAACGTATTACGTGCTGCACAGAATATCACTCCTGTGGTGACCTCAGGAAGACTGAGCAACAGTCGCTGAGAGGCCGAGAGCGACCTGCTTCCGTCTGTCCCACACGCTACCCGAACATACGTGACCCAACTCGCCATAATCAACCCGTGATTGCACAAAGAACAATCAAATGAATGAATTATTATCACAAACGCTGATTAATAACAATATGTACCATAACCACCCAAACCACAAAGCCCAGTCCTCCAGTCAGTCAACAATCCAGATGTTGACTTCCTCTGAAAACTGAGCCTTAAAGAGTTTATTTTAATGTGTATTTTTTAAGTATTTGTGACATTATTTCTCTAAACTAAATGAAAAAGTCGCCTAAATTGAATTTCTAAACACTTCTGGCCTCATCTTGTGGAATATTGTAGAAACCGCAGCACGAAAACAAAGTGTTTTCTTCTCGTCTTCTCACATAACCAAACCTTTTTTTCCCCCCCTCCAAAGACTCCTCAATGAGAGCGACAAGCGCCCCTTCATCGAGGAAGCCGAGCGGCTGAGGAAGCAGCACAAGAAAGACTATCCCGACTACAAGTACCAGCCGCGACGCCGCAAGAACGGAAAGATGGGTTCCGGGTCAGGAAGTGAGGCCGACGGCCATTCGGAGGGTGAGGTCAGCCAAAGCCAATCCCACTACAAGGGCCTCCACCTGGATGTGGCCCTCAGTGGGGGAGCCCGGTCCCCTCTGACAGATGGGCACCACCCTCATGCTGCAGGTGGGCTACGGGCTCCCCTCCACTACACTACACCCCCCCCCCTGTTTTTAGATGAGTCTGGATGCAGCTGGACAGTGTGGCACAGACACACAGATCATGGTTCGAGTCTGCCGAGAAAACCAGATGTAACTTCACGTTTTCTTTTGTCTCCACAGGTCAGAGCCACAGTCCTCCCACACCTCCCACCACTCCCAAGACAGAGCCTCAGTCTGGGAAGGCAGGGGATGGGAAGAGGGAGGGTGCTGGGAGCGGGGGCTCCCGGGGAACAATGGGAGCAGAAGGGAGCTCAGGCGCTCCGGGATCCGGGAAACCTCACATCGACTTTGGTAATGTGGACATCGGTGAGATGAGCCACGAGGTGATGGCCAACATGGAGCCTTTCGACGTCAACGAGTTTGACCAGTATCTCCCCCCGAACGGGCACCCGGGGGTCGGGCAGAGCGCAGGGGGAGGAGCAGCTGCGGCAGCTTCTCCGGCCTCGCCATACACCTATGGCATCTCCTCAGCTCTGGCGGCGGCCAGCGGACACTCAGCGGCCTGGCTCTCCAAGCAGCAGCAGCCGCAGCAGCATCACGCCTCCCCTCTGGGCTCAGACCCGTCCAAGGCCCAGATCAAGAGTGAGGCCGGAGGCGCCGGCGGTCATTTTGCAGAGGCAGCCTCAGCAGGTTCCCACGTCACGTACACGCCCCTCAGCCTTCCTCACTACAGCTCCGCCTTCCCCTCACTGGCCTCCAGGGCTCAGTTTGCCGAGTATGCGGACCACCAGGCCTCGGGGTCGTACTACGCCCACACCAGCCAGGCCTCGGGGTTGTACTCAGCCTTCTCTTACATGGGCCCCTCCCAGAGGCCCCTGTACACGCCCATCACTGACCCAGCCAGCGTGCCGCAGTCACACAGCCCCACGCACTGGGAACAGCCCGTCTACACAACGCTGTCGCGGCCATGACAGACAACGAGACCAGAGAGTACTGGTGCAGGTTCAGCCCCCACGTCAGACCCGAGAAGCAGCAGCAGCAGCTGCAGCGCTGGTGGCATCGGAGGTCAGAGTGGTCTGGGCTGGGGGGAGTGGGCAAGCACCAGGGGAGGAGGCTGGGGAGGCAGGACGGGACAAACCCCGCTCTGCCCGGGCCCAGGCGCACAAACGCTGTCACGGCCCAGGGATGAGCGTGAAGCGTGGAGCTTGTGAAGCGTGGCTGATAAATTCGGGGGCGCGCAGCGTCAGCAGCCAGAGAGCGAGTTACTTTGACGGTGCAAAGAGAAAAAAAAAAAAAACACTCACCGCAGAGTTCCAGGTTCGATCTCTCGCAGCACTTCGAACAACACGGTTAGCGACAGAGTTCACAGGCGGGAAAGGATCGTCTCCCCTTCGGTTCTGAGGAAGCTTCACTGTAGTCCACACCCCACACAGAGAAATACCCACATCTACATCTGGAATATATATAACCATGACCTGTGTAACGAAGGGTGTGAGTGAGAGGGAGCAGGATTCAGTCTATATGAAATGTTTTTGTTGTTGTTTTGTTTTGTGCCAGAGGAAAGGAGTGCCAAATCATTTGGCTGTGGCCCATTTATTTCTCAGGCAAGATTGAGCGACCTTTCATCGGACAGATGTTAGTTTTTGTATCGCTTCTGGAAATCAATACAACAAACACTGACGGCACTCTGTTGGTTTCTGAGGCACATCGGTCCCTTATTTAATTCTTAATGATTGATTGTGCTGTGTTCACTTCAAATGCCTTTTTGTATACGCCATGAAAAAAAAAAAAAAATGCCATAAAAAGCCGTGGAAGTGAAACGACTTATTATCAGGATGGTTTATAAAAAAAAAAAAGTACTTGAAATTACAAACTGTTCTTTATATTGATGGATTCTGATACGAACTGTGTGTAAAACGACCAAAGTTTTGAGACCAAAACTTTATTACATAGAGAAGAAACCGATGTTTCTCCCAACACGACACTCAAAACTACCTTTCATTATGTAGCTAGCTAGCCTTCTCTTAGCTGTCCACGTTTTCTCCAATGTGACTTTTTTTTTTTTTAAAAAACGTGTTGGTGTCAAAAGTTTCTGTTGAGTTTTTTATTTTTTTTCTCTAAGGCACTGATGAGTGTGATGATTTTAAGTCGTTTTTTTTTTGGACGTTTTCGTGTCGAACATTCATGATAAAAGACAAATCTATTTATACTTGGGTCATTTGTTTTCATTGACCACGGTTGCAATATGTTATAGAATTACATAATAGAAGCTTTTGCAGTTTTTTTATTTTTATTTTTAAAAGAACTGACTGTATTAATTCTCATGTGCTATTTGCCATTATAATCTCCACTGAGATCCTGCACCACTGCCTTTCCTCTTCCCTCCTGTGTCGTTTAAAGTGTGTTTTTGTTTTTTAGAACAGTATTCAATGTGAAATGTCACATTTCTTTTTATTGTAGTTGTGTATCTTTTTTTTTTTTTTTTAAATTTAAATTTCTTTAAAAAACACAATTTGAAGACAGTGTCAGTGTGGGTGATGCCAGTACTGAGAAACAGTTGCCAGAGATTGAGCGAATAAAGCCTCCAGGAGATAAAACGTTTTAACACAACCTAATGTTAAATAAAAAATGTGCCTTATCCTAATAATAATAATAATAATATCTGTTACTAACACATTGAACACAGGCTGTACTTTGTTGAAGCTAATCTGTTTTTTTATGTCACAGTGTCTTTTTCTCTCTTTGCTCTCCCGTGTTTCCACATGTTGTTTCTACGTCTCAGCTCCTGAGCAGAACTGCACTTCATTGATCTTATTCTCCATCTGAGGAAGTGAAAAAGATGAAACATTTAATTTGCCTTGTGTTTATGTTTATCGCTGAAATTATCCTTCATCACTACTGGACACATGTCTGAACCATATGCATGCAGCACTGCTTGTTTTAATTCACTTTATTCTTTTTATTTTTTTCGCTTAAAGCACATTTTGATGTAACTTTTTTTTTATTTTTTTTTACCTCCAGTTCATCTCACCTCCTCCCTGCCAGGCGTGAAACATCTGTAATGTTGCTTTGAATTTTACATTTCCTATTTATATTTGTTTTATGTTTGTGTGCGCAGTGAATTGTTTCTCTCCTTTTTTTTTTGAAGAAACCTCTCGACTGTTACTGTTACTGCCGTTTTAGTATTTAATCTTTCCAGTCTTGTGTAACAGCTGCCAGCACAGCACAGCAACACAACTGCTAAATAACAGCAGGAGCGAAAGCCTAAACATGTGATGATGACTAATGATCTCTGACTCTCACTTGAAATAAAGCTATTATTCCCGCTTTAATACAAGTCTGCCTCTTGAAACATTTTCACAACGGAGCAAATAATGGAAATGAAAGGTCCTGATCTGAATAATAACTGCAGTATGATAACAAACAATAAGCTGAACGTCCTCATTTTTAAACAACTAATTACGGAAACGTTCCAGCGGTTTATGAGAGGGACACATTCTCATCTTCTCGTTATTAATTACAACCAAACAACAGAAGCGCGCGCCTCTGTGGCATCTTAACGGCTCGAGCGCCCGCTCACGCTCTCGGCATAATCTGTTCAGCTAACGGTTAATTCACTTCAGCTGCACCGCGCGGCTCAGCTCACAGCCACAGACCAACCACTGACCATCAGCAGAGGTGAGCTGCGCACGAGTGACGGTGCGTTGCATGTGCAGGCGGTGACTGAGGCTCATGTGTTGTATTACAATAGAGGCAGGACTGTCCTCAGATCCACATTCACGTTCTGCAGCTGAAAGTTTCCTCTGAACTTGAACTAATCCAGTCTTAGAAGGGGGGTGGGGGGGGGGGGGTACACGCCTATATGCATATTTCAAGTTTGTTATAGTGTGCATTTATGTGTGTGCGTGTTTGTGTGTGTGTTGCAGGTTAAGCCTGACTCCTAATTCCCTCGCTTTAATCGGCTGTGTGATACTTTGGAGAGACAAAGAGGGCCATTGAAACGGGAGCCGGGGGGGAGGAGGAGGATGAGGGGGGAGGAGGAGGAGGAGGGAAACAGGGCAATGAGGGAGCCTTACCCATAACTGCCTGGCCTGTAGCTTCACCAGGATACAAAGGGACTCTCATACACTCTCTGCACATACACCCTGCAAACCCCCACTACCCTCCTCCCCCCTCCTCCCCCTCATCCTCCTCCACACTCAACCCATCCACTGAAAAAAAACTAACTCTCTTCAGGTTGGAACTGTAATGGGATTAAACCCTCAAAACATTAAGAAAGTTAACCAGAGAGCAGACGGAAGTAGAGTTAAATTCAATATTGCAAACAAAGTCAGAGCAGGTGTCAGAGCAGGAGATCCTCCAAGTTCATCTCAGTTAAAAAAAATAATAATCGAGGAAACCGAGTTAAATAAATAATTAGTTTTAAGTTATGTTGGCTTTATATCTACTTGTTAAGTTTATGTAAACGTTAGTTATGTTTACTTCATTTGTGAAGTTTTTCCAACTTAAAAATGGCAAGTAAAAGGAACTTGTTCTTTCTAAATGTTCTCATGTGGTTATTATCTTCACAAAGACACAATTAAACGATCCTGAGCTCGAATGTAAAGCAGCTACAAAGTTGGACTCATGTCGCACCAAATGCTACAAAGAGGCTCCGAAAAATCACATTCAACATCTGAAGAATTGAATGTGATTTAAGACAATTCATTGTGCTGTAGGAATCTGCTAAAAAAAAAAGACAGATCACAACCCAGTAATGGTTGTAAGATGACCACTGTTCTAAAACTGGAAGAACAGCAGAAGATTAATAAATATAAAAAGCGATGAGAAGCACGGAGACAGATGGAACGTGTGGCTCGCCGTGATCGCACAGGACGAATAAATAAAGACAGACGAGTAAATCAAGAGAGGAATGAGCAAAAGCACAAGTCAGAAGATATGAGTCATACCCTGCTGGGGTGAGGGCGACCTGATGGTGGCCTCACTGTGGCTGGTGCTGGTGAGTGTCACATGCGCTGCTGCCCCCCTCCCCCCTCCGCCCCATGAAAGGAGAGCAGCATCACCCCGAGGCGCTGTCTCCTCCAATCAGAAAGTCTCACAGATTAAGTCAGTTTTTCTCTTTTTCTTTCAGAAATCAAAAACACAACTGTGGCTACACACACAGGAACAGACACCAGGACACACCGGCTTCCTGCTGATGGCATTTATAACGTGTGTGAGGTGGATCCTCTCGGCTTTATTCTCACCACAGGAAAACATGCGGCTTCATCCTGCTGCATTTCTTATCATTTTCCATGTCTTTACATTCATGCCATACACACACACACACACACACACACACACACACACACACACACACACACACACACACACACACAGTTTATAATCCACCCGTCCATCCACCAGAGGCTGGAGTATCATCACGCAGCTTCTTCTACAACAAAACTCTTAATCTTCTCTTTCTCACAAACTTTCAGCCCCCTTCTTTTTTCCAGCGCTCACCGGGCTTCGTTCTGCCCGGGCAACAACCCGTTTCCCCCGAAACAATACGCCGACTGTTTGGCTGCTGTGTGCATGTGTGTGTTTGTCAGGCTTTCACACTAGTTATCAAAGACAGAGGGGAGAAATAAAAATCATAAAGTTCAGGAGTGAGTCTTTTAAGCCGATTGCCATTGTTGCAGCAGCATGGATTGATTGTGGGACTTTCCCCCTCACTTGTAATATAATTTTTGCAGTTTGCTTTGACAGATGCATCAGAAATGCAGTTTTTGTAAGAAATCTCGTCTGTAGAAATCACAATATTCACCTGGTATTCAGCATAAGCAGAGTCACCTGTAGGGCGGCTGTTGTATCTCTTACAGTCGCCTGCAGCTCAAACACACATCTCCACTTGGGAATGTTGTGGTATATGATAACTTTAGCCACGCAACATAAAGCTGCATTAGCAGCGTGAACAGCTGACATACTGCATGTAGACGACTAAGAGGATATTTAGTCAATAGTATTAAATAGTCAATACAAAACCCCCAAATCTCCAACAGTTAATGCAAAAACTAAAGACTGTGAGTTTTAATAAGCTGCTGCTAACCTCAGGCTGTTGCACTGTGTTGTAGAGAGTTTATTTTTCTCAATGGAAGAATTATTTAATCACTTCTGAGGCTGAAATGTGATTTAGCAGAATCATCAGTATCATATAATGTTGGTTCAGGGGCAACTAAATAACAAGCTTGCAGTTATTTCCCATTTGTTCAGGTGTAAGTGGCTTATTGCACGATTAAACACAGATATTAACAACCCAGAGTCTAACTTCGAAAGTCATTACAAACCTCTGTGAGTGTGAGTTTCAGTAACATGAATGAGATGTGCTTGTTCATACAAAAGAGTTTATTCTAAACTATAAAACAGTTATTTTACATTAATCACCTCTGTCCTTCAAAACAATAGATGGAATAATTACAACACAGGATTATTTTGTAAAAAAAAAAAAATTGAGTAAATGTTTGCCTTAAGATACATTTCCCCCTTGTGGTTGTTTGTTATAATGCAGCTGTTAAAATAGGAAGTACGGTGGATAATAAGTCTGAATTTCACTTTAGTTAAATTCACGGTTATTCAGACGAAGGATCATCAACATAAAAGATTTTCACGGTTCTCTGAGTGTCTGTTTGGAACATTTCATGTGTTCATATTTCACCAGCTCTCACAGTCACCTGACCATTTTGTGTTTCAGGTGAAGGTAGGAGCAGGTGGGTGATGACGCCGTCAGTCTAAGGACTCCCCCGGGTTTGTGCAGCTGACTGACCTGGTACGACGGAGAGTGTGAAACAGCACAGACTGTTGTGTCAGTGCAGACTGGATCATTTGTTTAATCAGTTATGATGAGCTCGTCACAACCCCAGTCCTCATAACTGCCGTCAGGAAGGTACCTGCGGATGATGATGGGGATCTTTCTGCTCCTGTTGGAGGAGACGAGCGAAGGTCACAGTAAAACACTGGGAAATACAGAGAAACTCAACATCCTCTTTAAATAACAAAAATAAACTAAAGCATAACAGATAATTTCAAACGATAAAAATGATTACTTACTTGAGCTCTTTCATAGCTATTTGCAAGGGGTCTGTTTCTCCCTCCAGCTCCACCATGACCGGAGCGCACATCCTGTGGAAAACAAGCCAGCAGATAGACAGGAGTGGTAAATACTAAATGATATATGTAAGTGACTACTTACTAAAGCTGCCTCCTTTGTCCTTGTCTCCTTCGGTTTTAAAGTCCATTTTTCCCGGCAATTTAAGCTGAATGATACTGATGCACTCAAATGTTACTTTTGACAAAACAGCTCAGAGTGTATATATATATATATATGTATATATGTAATATATATGTAATATATATGTATACTGTATATATGTACAGTACAGATTAAATGTTAGAGATGCTTATCTGTGGTTTTACAAGAAATGGACACACGAGACATTTTTAAGGAATTGTTGGTGACAACTCATTTCCCTCAGGTGCTGCTTCTTACACCTGTATGTACAATTATCACACAGTAGTAATCCAGAAAACAACTCTGTCCTCACACAGAGCACTTCCCCTTCTGTGACATACATCCATAATACAGTGAAGGCAGGAGTGTAAACGAGTGTGTACAGAAGAGTCAAACATCAGGACAGTGTGGACACACCGCTGTCTGTTCACACGTAGGGCTGCGCAACTGATCAAAATATAATACAAATCGCAATATGGCCCAGAGCAACATCCAAATCTCAGGATCCACTTTCTTTTACTCTAAAGAGACGCTCCAGGCTAAAAATCATACTCTCCACATGTGCCAAAACATGTAAACATGTCTGTTTGGTACAAGACGCAACAAAAATCACATCATTTCATTATGTTTTTTCTAAGTGAAAATTAAACGCAAAAAAAGATCATTCCAACTGAAACCACACATAGCAATATGATTTTATTTCACATATCATTACTCACGCTATCTGCAGAGCTCGTGTCCCCAGCACTCTGGCCCTCTCGTATTTGGTCATGTATGGTGTTGTGATCCTCTTCTGATTTGCCTGCTGACCCTCTCCCGCCGGCAGGATCTGCACGTTCTCCTGATCTTCCTGCTCACGAGAGCAAAGTAAACAAGGTTTGGACTCGTTGAATATTAACCAAATGACACGACCATAGAAAACCGGTGGGAAAACGCTAACAACAAGATCAAATCGCTGACAATAAACGAAGAACTTACATCTTCCACGTTTTCAAGGTCATCTAATCCCTCGTCCTCCTCGGCATCATCAAAATCTCCATCATCGAAGCTACAAATGAGACAAAATACAGTTATGACGAAGACCAGACATCCAGAGAAAGTTTAGAAAAGGGCAGTTCTGCTAGCTAACTGGCTAAACGTTAGCTAGCTGTAACGTTAGCCCACGTTGTGTTGTTTAAATACGCGGCTTAATAAAACGCGTTAAATCAGAGCGTCGTTACTTACTTGTCTTCGTTGTCGGACATGTTTTATTTTGAAGCCCCTATCTGCCCTCTGTGAATTATTACTAGTGAAAATGTTCTAACACACTTTTTGTTGTCAACATGAACCCACATGAGCGCGATGGCCTTCCGACTTCCGGCCGCTCGGTGTGTTGGAAAATATTCCGGGTGCGTAAGCGGAACATTTGTGTTTCGTTCCGCTTATTTTCGAGAACGTGTCAGGAAAATATTAAAGCTGGCATTTTTTGGTGTAAGTTAATAAATGTATTCGTCTCTTTCATGGTGGCGTGGATTAGACAGCCTATTGTTCCACCCTCTTACATCCTATTGCTTATATTGGGTTACAAACTTGTGGACGCACTTGCTTACAGTTGGTAAATGAGCTAATCCTCTTTGTTAACCATCAGTAATGTGTAGATATTTTTCTCCATATCCTCACAGTATTTAGAAAAGAACACAGCCCTCAAAATTTCAAAGGAATTTTCTGAAGAGCTTGTGAAGTCATAGAACAGAAAAAGTCCTCCCCAGGATTAACTCTTTTTCTTCTGCATCTGCTTTCATCACTTAAAGAGCGAAAAACAACTAAACCGATAATGGAAATAATATCTACATTGATAAATGTGCAAGGAGAAATATATGTTCATCAAACAACTCAAGACGAGTTGGTGTTACCCGACTGTTTTGAGTGAATTTAAATGCACTTTTTCAGCACAGTAGATAAATGACATCTCAAAAAACTGGTTAAAACAAAAGCTGGTTAATCATAAGATACACACTTCGTCTCCACAGACAAGACATCGAACTTTCACAAATAAATATTTATTGCATACTTCAACTAAAACAAGTATGTAATAAAATGAGGAAACATAAATACTGGTTGCATATAGCAGATATGGCAAGTAAAGATGAACAAGGAAGAGAACATAACACGGAATCATTTGCACAGACATGTCTTCATTAACTAATCTTTCATATGATGATCTTCTTCTGTGGTAAAAGAAATATCAACACTTTTATCATCTAAAGGTACAAATGAGTTTGTTGTCTACGAGAGTTTCGTGTCAGTAACATTTCTACAGTCGTGACGGTGCGTCAGCTCTTTTTGTCTGAGGAGTCTTTGCTGCTCTCTGCTTTATGGTTCAGCAGCTTAAAAACCTTTGTGGGCCTGAACTTTCCTTTTGACTTCTTGAGCTCTTTTAGTTCCTCTTTCTGGAACTCTGAGGAGAAAAAACACAATTAATTATCATTTTTAAAACAATTCAGTAAGACACACAACATGAGAAACATTTTGAAGTTATTTTCTCACCTTTATTCTTCAGCGAGGCTTCCCAGAGCTCATCCTCCTCTCTTTCCCTGATCAGAAAAAACAAAGTTCAATTTCTACTTTACAACATAATAAATCTATGAATGTGAAGGCACCGTGCATTGTATTGTTTCTTTCCTTCGCACCTCTGCCTGTCCTGATCCAAGCTGCTGACGATCTGGTTCCTCTGTTCGATGATGGCGACCAGCTCGTCCATCAGCTTCCGCTCTCGACCTCGATCCTCCTGACTCCAGTCGCTCTCTGAATGTGCAGACGACAGTGTTTAACATTTAATAAGAAGAACCAAAACAAAGAACTCCTTTCCACTACATCCACATTCAAGAGCCTGTACGCAGCGAGGTCTCCGGTCAGAAGGCAGAACTCACAGATCAGAACAATAGTAATAATAATAAACTTCTGCTTTGCTGCACCTTGCAGAAAAAAAGCTACGGTTAGGAGTTAGACTAGAAATATTGGACCTATTAATGATTTGATTATATGTTCAAGGAAAAGTAAGCTGACAAAAGTGACACACAGGATCATACAGACCAGGTTTATTAAGGAGACATCGCAGCTCATACTCCACATCTGCCTGTCTCTCCTCTAACTTCTTCTGCTTTGTCCTGGGAAAATACACAAAAATAAAAAAAATCATGAAACTTCGCTTCCTAATTTTTAAATAATGGCATATACAACTCATTATCAGAGCAAAGAGCCTGTCTCGTTCACTTACAGGTGAACCAGCTCCGTATCTCTGCGCACCAGAGCGTGTCTCTCGTGGATAAGAGAGAACCACTCCATCAGCATTCGTTCCTCGTCTTTAGCTGAAATAAAAAAGGACGGACTGTGAAAGCAGAGACAAAGACATCCCTGCCGCACTGATGACACTGACGACACTGACGACACTGATGCACACTGACGACACCGCAACACTGACGACACCGCAACACTGACGACACTGACGACACTGACGACACTGACGACACTGAGCGATTCTGCGGCGGTAAATTTATCTGGCGTACCGTTCTTGCAGTCTCTCAGATGTCTTTCCAGTTCCTCTCCTCTTTGTTCCAGCGCCTCCANGACACCGCAACACTGACGACACCGCAACACTGACGACACTGACGACACTGACGACACTGACGACACCGACGACACTGAGCGATTCTGCGGCGGTAAATTTATCCGGCGTACCGTTCTTGCAGTCTCTCAGATGTCTTTCCAGTTCCACTCCTCTTTGTTCCAGCGCCTCCAGATGTTTATCCAGTTCTCCCATCTCTGTCTGCAGGTCTTCTGTAGAAACATGTTGGTCCGTCTGCACCTGTCAGCGACGCACAGAACCACGTACAGATTTATTTACACCAGAACAATTTACATATAACCACTAATGACTAAACCTGAGACACGATGGCAGCTAAAATAATCAGTGTAGACAAAACTAATGAAATAATAATCCTTCTATGGAGGCTGAAGATGAAGGAGGCAAAACTTCAGATTGTGTTTTTATGGGGCAGCAATGTGCCAATTTGTATTTAGAACAATAAAAATATAAATTAGTACAAACATGTATCGCCTGTTGAGGTTTAAAGTCAGCCATTGTACCTTCCTCTTGATGAGTGGGAAGCCATGTCCCGGGGCAGGAGCCCGTCTCGATGGGAGGTCCTGGAAAGTCTTTGATTTGGATATTGCAGGTTTCCGATCAAAGGGATTCTCTTTGCAGGCCGGCTGAGAACATGGAAAGAAAATTGTGGGTGTTTTTATGCAGAATATGATTGTTACGTCTACTTTAGTGATAAAACATCCTTTTTCTATAAAAACATGTGGCCTGTGACTGCAGCGATAAAAAGAATGTGTTCATGTTAGATTTCATTATTATTAATTAGCCTTAAACTCTGGTCATACCTTACTTTGGCATGATGTGACAGACTCTTGTGCCTCTGCTACACCAACAGGCACTGAGGACCTTTGAGAGTGGACACATGTGATAACCGGCACAGAAAGACTCTTGGGTAAAAAGCGACCTGCAGCCGCTTCAGTCACATCTGGCTGTGAGACACCTGTGCTTCCATTTTCACCCAGAGCATGTGAATCCATTTGACTTGTGTTTGCAGCCGGTTCAATGGAAGCCTCCACTGTGTCAGTCACTGCACTCCTTCGCTCTGCCGGGTCACGTCCTGCAGCTCCACCCGCCTCAGTCACATCTGGTCTGTTTGCTTCACTGGGTTTATCCAGCGGTTTTACATTATTGTCCTCAGATTTAATGGCAGCAGCCTCCGTGCGACCGCCACCGTCCTCCGAGGACTCAGTGGGGTGCGCAGACTTCTCCGCCTGAGTGTCCTCATCCACGTCCTCTGCAAATGGATTGGGAGGGGCTACTTTTGGTCTGTACCAGGACCCCCGCAGGTTGGAGAGAGATTTGGATCGAGGAGTGGGCACCGGGGCCGGGGCGGGAGGCAGCTGCGTCCAGGGCCCGGGATGGACGATGGCCATCCACGGGTGGTTGGTTTTCACTTTAGGGCTGCCAGCGGTCGGGCTGGTGCTGCAGGGAGAGAGACAAGAGGTGGTGTTAGAGGTGACTGCACGAGTGAGGACGGACTTCTGAGGAAAGCAGAAATTATTATGTTGTTATGCATCTGTGATATATTACAAAATAAAACACATTTTAAAAAAAGAAATGTGTGATAATATATGATATGGCTCGATGTGAAATACAGAAGAGACCTGGACGGCAAAGAAAAGACAGACTCTTTGTGTGCACTTACATGTGAGATGAACCGAGGGCAGATTTACTTTGGTTGGTCGATTTGCCTGCAGAGAGAGAGAGAGAGAGAGAGAGAAAAGCAAAAATGGCTTCACTCATTTATTTCACTTTGTCATGAAAGAGAGGAGACGTACATGATACAGACAGTACTGAAAACAAGAACTAGACAGACAGACAGACAGACAGACAGAAAGACAGACAGACAGACAGACAGACAGACAGACAGACAGACAGACAGACTGACAGACTGACAGACTGACAGATAGATAAACAGATGCAGTAAAACAACAATGTGTGTATTTACCTGCAGCAGGTGAGCCGTTAGCTGCGTGGGTAGTTTTGGCCCTGGGTGCAGGGACAGGGACCACAGGGGAGTCGAACATTCTCCTGGGTGCTGGGACGGGCTGAGCACTTCCTTCTGTCGACCGCACACACGGCGAGGAGAGCTCAGACGGCGGCTGAGTCTCCGTTGCTTCCTTCTTGCCGTCTGACAGGACGGGTGCAGACCCAGCTCCTGCGGCTGTCCCGTCTTTAACGCTGGGCCGAGGAGGAGAAGGAGGTGCTGGCTTCTTTGCCGTGCTCTTCAGTGCGACAGTTGACTTGTTGTTTTCTCTGCTCCTCTCCCACCTTTCTCTTCCCTCCATCTCTGCTGTTTGACAAACCTGTCTGTCCTGTGACTCTGTTTTCTTAGTGTAATGAGGGACGCTGCTGATGGCCAATCCACTGAGAGATAAATAACCTGCCTGAAATTTACATTGTGGACGACTGTCAGTAGATCCAGTTTGTTGCCCGAGGTCAACACGAGAACTTTGACTGTCTGTTAAATGGTGAGTGCAGATCAACGAGCCGGCATCACTTCCCTGTGTGTACGACTCTGGTAAGAGAGTGCTGTGACACACTTTGCACCTGAAGGACAAAAAATGAAATGTGTTGCTGTGAAAACATCTTTCACACCTTTTCACAGAAAAAAAAACAACTAATAAAATAATTATAATCCAAACGTACAGAAGAAAATCCAACCATTTAAAAATATAAAACAAAACAAAACAAAAAAGTAATTTTCTCAATCTGTGTGGCCGAGTGCAGACAGATGTCATATGTCATATATAATCAGAAGTGAGCAGGGAGGTCAAACATGTGGTCACTTGAAACACATTAGAGACGCATTCCTGTGTGTGAGCTGCAGTCTGTCTCAGCCGGGTCTAGACGGCCTGGACGTGTCTGGATCCACACGCTAAGAGAAGCAGAAGAAGAAGCTGCTGTTGCCGTGTGAACGGTGCCGTTACCTGAAACAGCTGCGATGGTAGATCTTTCCATCGACCAAATGTCTCTGTATGAGGTGGACGGGTTTGAAACACAGATTACACACCGCCCGCGGCCTTGTGTTGGATAAATGATGGTCACTGGTTTCCAGATGAGTGACGCTCTGAAAAGAGAAGAGAAACTCTCAGCTGAGAGCTGTTAATCCAGCAGCTGGAGACGACAACGAGCAATGTGAAAACAGGCACGTGTGTGTCACAATGACCGTGTTTACCTTCAGGACTTTCAGACCATCGGGGGATGAGATCTTGGTGAGATTGTTTAAGACAGCGACGTGTGATGACCTCAGACTCGCAGGACCTGCTGCAAAGTCAAGAGAAGTCATGCAAAGTGAAGCACAGACTTCATGTTGGAAAATGTGCTGTGTTCATTTTAATAGAGGAAGGGTGAATGCAAAGAGCCCAGATACAATCATAAGGGAAGTGGAGATAGTGGATACACCTCTTCTGACTCACTGCAAGAAACTGAATAAAAGCATCTGATAAATGGCTGTAACAGACCACGCACCATGAGACTTCCTGTTGAAGAAGCAGTGGTAATGCGAAAGGTAGGTGATGACGCTCAGACAGTCGGGCACCTTGGTGGAAACCATTTCCTTTGGGTCCAGCAATGCAGGGATGCCCAGCTTTGCTTCTGCAACCTCAAACGCCTGCAGATCAGGAAACAGAAGCACGGAGCAAAGGTAGATGACTGTGAAAACGTGTCAGTGTCTTCTGCGTTAGTAATGATGGATAAATACCAAACACAGAGATGAAAGAGACATGCTTGCATTGTGGCTTATGTGTGCAGAACACGAGAGTAAAATGACTCACCAGTTTGTTATTGTGATAGACATTATCTTTGGAGAGGGAGCTAAAATCACTGGAGGAAAACGGAGGGATCGATTAAATGACGATGAAAAGACAAAGTAACAATCAAAAGAAAACAGTTGCCCAGGTGCAGCTCATGATCAGAGATTACTGTGAGATGACCCTGGTTCAATCGCTGACTGTAAAAGGTAAAAAAAAACTGACTAATCCCATTTAATGGGACAAGAAAAGGTTGACAGAGATTAAGGAAAGGAGAGATTAGTCCAACAGAGTACAACAGGTCCAGATTACACAGCATGGTGGTCACAGTCAAGAAGACTTTTAAATCTCAGGGCAGGACACCAAAAACAGACAAGGACAAACACTTACAGTGTGAGGAAATGTCCAAATAATGTAACACACCTGTAGCTACTGAGAAAATAACACACCTGACTGTGCTTGTGTACCTGGCGGAGCAGGATGAGGCTGCACAGGTCTAAGAAACCACGGGATTACTTACATCAAGTCAGGCCGGTGTTTATGGATGATGGCGCAAAATGCAAGTCCATCTCTGAATGAGGCCGACATATTCTTTATGTCCACCTCGGGGTAACCGGCGCATGTGTCGCGGCACCACTCTCGCAGAGCCCTCGGTGATGCCATTGCTTGTGTGGGATTAGACATGTGGGCTGGGTGAACATGGCACTTAATGAGTTAGAGGAGATCAAATAAAAGGAAAGGCAAGGTTTGGTTTTGTGGAGAAAACAGGAAACGAGCATCTACTACACTGCATAGCAACAAGTTTTTTTTGTTGTTGTTGAGTTAACCTGCAGCCAAACGTGTGCGTCGCGTTGGTGAAAGCAACAGGAAGGAAGTGGTGTTCTTCCCCTTGTTATGTTGCTGTTTCAGATCAACACAAAGTTATCCGTGCACGTAAAGCGGTTTAACATTGCTTCACTGCTTCCAGACACAACTTCAGTCTCAAACGGTTCTCCTCAGTGTCACTGTTCACCACAAACCACCACCGAGCTCCTTGAACGTGCTCAGCTGTCGTCCAAACATCTGCAGCGCCTCGAGGACTTCTGGTCAACTTGTTAGAAAGGTTGTTAATTTCAATCTCGTCCCGTTACTTGCAGTAGTGCTCCTTGTTGTGCTCCACAGTCAGTGACATGAACAATAGCTGCCACTGGAGGGCGACACAGAGCTGGTGCTTCTCTATAATTAGGAGGGGGGGGGGGGTTCTGGTGACAAGCAGACATGACAGACTTACTGTGTTACAGATAAATATATAATCAAAACCTAGATGCATTACAGCTTCGTTAAAATGCTTCAATCCTTCCCCCACTCCTATTTTGATCACTTGATTTGTTTTGTGAGCATATTCATTTTATTGGCTACAACACTCTTTGTAATATTATCCATCTTAATTTCAGGCAGTTTCTTAGTCATCTGTAAAGTAAGCCATTTTAAAAGGCACGTCCGGTCAAGTTGAATAAAACATTAATTGGCAAACTATAGCAGCATTAACACGTCGAGCAGACTCGAGAAAAACGCCACATGTTTTGGGCTAACACTAAAATAACGGTAATTTGCCTCTAATTTATTTATTTATACTGATGGCCACACCGACTAAATTGCCTACTTTTACTTTGAAGGAATTTAACTTCCGGTTGGTTCTGATTTCTTGCTTGACGTAGCTCTCTGGTCATAGAGATTCATGTGCTAGACTGGTTATTCCCGTTCAACTTTACGTTATAATCTCATTTGCGGTTAAAATGCTGTATTTGATGATGTTTACATTGACATTGTGGCTGTTGTTATGGCATATGAAACACACAAAAATAATTAGGACGAACAATATGCAGCTGTGGTGAGACGTTCATTTATAAAATGTAGCCTAAACGTTGTTATTGTGTTAATTTATTTCACCAGGAAGTGTAGTTAAGCTTAGTTAAGGCATACACTTTAAGAATATTTTATATATGCAAATTAGGCAAAATTAAGGTAATATACAAATATATTTCAAAACCACCACGCCTTTGATTCGTTAATGTCCTTTCTATTCACTCAAGTTCTGCGTCTTTTCTGCCTCTACGTGCCCATGCGTCCCTCGCGAGACCGACGCACTACATAAATCTCGCAGTGATGGCTGCACCGCCCGATGCGGAGAGTTTGGAGTCTCGTATTAGTGAGTATTTTAAACTTATTTTACTGAGCCGGTGTTGTCTGGAGACCCGGACACTCACAAATTATAATCCGTGAGTTGTTTTTAACGAAATGACAGCTCACCACAGCGGCGCGTGTCCCAGCGGAGGGGACTCGGACCCTGCCGTCACATCCAGGATGCTAACCTAGCTCTCTGGAGCTGCTGTGCCTGGCAGCTGTCAACACACAACACAGCCCAGGTGCAGCTTTAGCTTTACGGCTCTATAGCTCAACAAGGCGGTGGGCGACACGATCACGGCGGCCCCATTTTTACTCATAGTGGGTAGATTATAATTAAGGCAAAGCTACGGTCTCGTAAGAAAGTTCGAGACGAGACAGTGACACAGTACGACTCCCGACAGCAAGCTAGCTAACGTTACACTCTGCTAGCACCTGCCCTGTGTGTTTCTTTGCGCGGTGACTGCTGGGGTTATGTGGCACAGACTTAATGAATTTTAAATCACGGAGTCACTCAGGAAGCCTGTACGCCTTCGTTGACTGTCTTGCGTGCTTAGTTCAAGTTCTGTACGTTAAAAATCGTGAATTTTTTTTTGACAGAAAAATACTTTGGGTATGAGTATTGAAGGCATCATTAATTTTTTAGTCTAAAAGAGACATTTACAACTTGCATTCAACTGCCAGTGTATTCCTATTTAAAATTAACAAACAGAAAATCTGACAAATATAAAACTTTTGTCTAATTGCATTACATTGAAATCAGAGGCGTTTCCAACATTGTCTTCCTTCGTTGATACAAATAGACTGCATTAGTTTGTGACAGGTGTCACCTGAGTGTAGAGACAGTAAAAGATGCATTAGAGATAGTCACATTTCACTCAGTGGAAGAAGTTAAGATAAATAATTGTATTGCAATGTAAAGTTTAACACTTGGGAAATGTGCTTTTAATATCACAACATTGCTGCAACTAAAATCCTAGACACGTTATAATTATTAAATCCTTTGTTTAAACAGGTATTCTCTTTTTAAGAGACCTGTTTACAAAAACACACATATAATTTATACACACAAAGAGGCAGTTAAAACACCATGCACCCTCACATGAAAAAAGCATGTGCACATGTGTAGATTGTATTTACACAAGTACAACTTTTTTTGGAGCTCATTCTGTCTGTGTGCAGCGTGGTGTTTGAAACCAGTTTTTCTGAGTTCCAGTTAAGGCTAAAATGTCCTGTGACCCGACGTTGTAAGTGCTTTGTTTAAATGTTGCCAGAGAGCCGAGATAACATGGTAGTTTTTGCAGCAGAGCATTTTAAATAAACAACATACAGCGCTGCTCCCTTCTATGTGTTTAGGAAGACCTTCCCACCTTTTTGTATAAAACGCAATGTGATGAAGCGCAGTGCGCTGTGATACGCGGAGTCAAGAGGTTCCAGTGTGGAGGGAGAAGCATACATTAACAACATCACCATAATCCAGAGCAGACAGAGTTGTATATTGTATCATGGTCTTTCAACTAGCTGAAGAGAAACATGATTTGTTTCTGCACAAAAATCCAATTTTGACCTTTTAGTTTGTTTGATAGGTGTTCCACGTGGGTCTTAAAAGAGAGTGGTATCCAACCAGAGACCTAAGTATTTACAACACGTATTCTATACATGTAATCGACATGTGTTCTAATATAACATCTGTGTCGTTTGACATCCCATTTGCTGACATTTCAGACAGAGCCACAAACCCACTCAACAGAGACACAGACTGGAGCAGCATCCATGCCTTCTGTGACCAGCTCAACAATGATCTGGAGGGGTAAGAGGAGAGAGTTTGTGCCTCATTCCTTAATTATGACATTATGTTCTGGTTGTTGCTGATTCAAGTTCAAGTCATCTGACTTGGGCCGTTTTTCTCTGCTTAATTTAAAATTAATGAAAAAAATCTAAATTGCTAAATAAACTGAACTGTGAATGTAAATTAACATTCAGTTCACGACCTGCTTGTTACACCTGAAGACATCTAAGTGCTTAATGCAGAACATACGTATAGGCCTGGAAAGAGAGATTAAAAAAAGCCATGTGAAGTTGTCTGTTTAGGAAATTAAACAATCCTGACATTTCTCACTAGTTACTCTCAATTATTTCAGAAATCATTCCAGGGTTAAACTGACTTCATCACTGTCCATGTAAACATGAAAACACTAAAAACATTTCTTTTAAAATCCCTCATTATGATTACAGTGGTTAAAAGAAGCCAATGATAAATACAGACTGTCCAGCCTGGACATTCACTATTGTTTGGGACTTGTGTTTCAGTCCTCAGCTGGCCACCAGGCTCCTGGCCCACAAGATCCAGTCTCCCCAGGAGTGGGAGGCCATGCAAGCCCTGCTGGTGAGTTCAGATCTGAACCCGCATCTGTAATGATCAGTTGCCTCTGTAGTGATGTTTCCTGGTTTTCACTACAAAGTTTTAGTGTCCCATCAGTTCAGAATAAGATCGTACAGGTTTTATTCAAAGTTGTTTATGTTTTGATATGAAAAATAATTCAATTTAAAGACGTTTTATTGCTGCAATATTCTAACTTTCGTCTGAAGTGGCGTTCCTGTTAGAGAACCGCTGTTTTCTTTTTCTTTTTATATGTATATATTTTTTTATTTCGTTTCATTATAAGGTTTTGGAGACGTGTATGAAAAATTGCGGGAAAAGGTTTCATAATGAAGTGGGCAAATTCCGTTTTCTTAATGAACTCATCAAAGTAGTTTCTCCAAAGGTAAGACTTCAGATTTCCTCTGTGTGCTTCTATATGTTTCAGATATTTTTTTATTTTTTATTGTATGACGTGTGTGTGTAAATCACTGTTGTTGTTCTCAATCCCCCACCCAGTACCTGGGCTCACGGTCACCAGAGCCAGTAAAAAAGAAGGTTTTGGAGTTGATCTATAGCTGGACTTTGGGGTTACCTGATGAGGCCAAGATCTCAGATGCTTATCAGATGCTGAAAAAACAAGGTGAGAGTCTTTCTGCTTTCAGACTAATGGACAAAACCCTAAACCTGCAGCTCAGGTTCATTTTTAGGATTCTTTAAGTAGTAATAGCAATTAACAACTAAAGTGATAAGAAATGTTGACAAGCATTTAACTGCCCTTCTTGTTCATGTTGCTTGTAAATCAGGTATTATCAAACAAGACCCAGAGCTGCCACCGGACAAACTACTGAACCTTCCTCCACCCAGACCCAAGAATGCCATCTTTGAGGACGAGGAGAAGTCCAAAGTGAGCATCAAAAAGTGTTGCAGAACACATTTCATACAACTGTGGTAGTTAAATGAAAATGTGACTGTTCACTCACATCTCACCACGTGAACTCTGGCTGTCAGATGCTGTCTCGCCTGTTGAACAGCTCGCACCCCGAGGACCTGAAGGCCGCCAACAAACTCATCAAGGAAATGGTCCAAGAGGTAAAACTCTTTTATAAATTGCACTTTTTCCGTTACACATTAACTACACTGCCACTTTTCATTGCTGCTTCTTGTGTGTGTGGTCTCTAAGAAAAAGAGTAAAATATCAGAGCGCTGCACTCATGGCAGGAACATTAACTGAATGAGGAAATGGGTCGGNAAAAAAAGGGGGAGGGGGGGGGGGGGGGGGGGGGGGGGGGGGGGGGGGGGTTGTGTGTCGCTGTCAGAGTGATTCAGCAGGAGTTCAGAGGAAATCTGTCCTGATTTAAGGGGCAGTGCAGCAGCTCTTTTCTCTTACCCTGGACCTTTCTAACGGCCTCTCCCTGACCCGCTGTTCTTCTGCATTTATGATGATTTCACACACGTGCACGCGTTTGAGATTTTGTGTCCCGCCTGTCTTAGGACCAGAGGCGGGCAGAGAAGGTGTCGAAGCGGGTGAACGCCATTCAGGAGGTGAACGAGAGCGTCGCTCTGCTGACTCAGCTCCTGCAGGACTATGACAGCACAGCCAGCGATCAGAGCAACGCTGAACTCATACAGGTGAGATTCAGACGGTTGAGTTGTGTTTACACATGTAGCCTGAGCTGCAAGCATTTCATTCGGTGTGTGTGTGTGTGTGTGTGTGTGTGTGTGTGTGTGTGTGTGTGCGTGGTCAGGACCTGTACCAGCGCTGTGAGAAAATGAGACCTACACTGTTCAGACTGGCCAGTGACACAGAGGACAACGATGAGGCTCTGGGTGAGTGTCACTTTCATTCACCTGTCATTAAACATCAAGCAGAGTAAAAGGCAGTGGACATTACTCAGGCCTCTTTGTTCCATATGTTATATATTTGTTATGAATATAGAATACATAATACCTTGTAATGGAGAGCTGATGCCAGTGTTAAATGACTGTTACCTCTCAGCTAGAGATGAAGCGGTTTCACACTAAATCACAGTGGAAAAGACAGATGGTTAGAATTACCGTTTTTAAAATTTAATTAATTTAAATTTTAATTATAGTGTCCGATTACTGTGGTTATTTTAATTCACATGGGTTTGTTTTGCATCAGTGTCAAAACGTGGCATCACCAGAGATTTTTTACACCAAAGTAGCGAGTATAAAGGTTTGTCTTTATAAGTTTTATACGTTTTTTAGCAGGTAAACCTGTTAAAAAACCTGTGTCTCAGATGTGTTGGACATTATTTTAATGTTTAAATTCAAACATTTACTCGGTGAAATGTTGTGTTTTATTACTTATTGAACATTTTCAGCACATTTTAACAATAACTGTGATAACTTTGGTCCCTATAATCGTGATATTAACCTCTTAAACTGTGTCCTCTCTACTCACAGCACACTGTTGTTTCTCCTGTGTTTCCACAGCGGAGATCCTGCAGGCCAACGACAGCTTGACTACGGTCATCAACCTCTACAAACAGCAGGTGAAGGGGGAGATAGTGAACGGCAACAACACATTAAACGCACAGAAACAAACAGGTGGGTGAAGCAGTGAACACAAACCAACGTGGAGAGCGCCTCGTAAATGTCGATCGTTTAGTAGTTCTTTGTCTTTGTCTTGGAGGAGGGACAGCACTGCTAGATCTGTCGGGATTGGACACGTCACCCCAGTCGCCACCATCCTTCCCAGAATTTCCCACTCCGACAGACAGCCTGAACGCCCCCTCACAGGAGATGGGGATAAGTCTCCTTGACGACGAGCTGATGTCACTCGGTAACAGCATGTCAGACAGCACACACCTTTTTTTTTTTTTTTTGTTAGTTGAATTAAACAGAATTTTTCAAGACTTCCCTCTGAGGAATATTAGAACATGTCCAGCTTTAAATTGCAGAGAGAAAAACTTTGTGTTATTTTATCTCTAAATATTCCTGCCACTCTTTGTGCATCCCACAGGTTTAAGTGAAGGAACGCACACCTCCAACCCCCCCTCACAGCCTGAGGACTCCACAGCCTGGGACTCCTTCCAGGTGAGCGCAGGGAGAATTATATCACAACTGTGATGCTCCAGTGTCCAGTTTGTATCAGTTAGATTACTGACATCTGTTCTGAAAGTCGTGTTTGTTAACGTAATTGCTCACACACGTTCTACTTCCAGTCCTCTGACAGCATAGACGCAGACCCCCCCGCAGCACCCAGTCTCCTCCTGAGTCCAGACCCACCCTCCCACTCTCAGCCCCTTTCCTCTGGCTCCACCCCGGGGAACTCGGCCCTGGACGAGCTGGACCTGCTGGGGAAGACGCTGCTGCAGCAGTCCCTGCCTCCAGAGGGCCTGCAGGTCAAATGGTATTGAACTAACACTGTTCCAACACTGTCGCATCGCTGCTTAAACTAGGAGGAACAGCCTCAACATGGCCTTGATATTCTCTAAGTTTTGACTGGATGTGCTCGTCTGTGTGGCGTGCTCTGTTTCAAAGTATGACAGTCGGTCTATTTAGAGCAATGGAGGTCGGAGGAAAGATATTTTTCACACTCACAAAGTTCACTTTCCTTTTAAAAGCTGCAGAACAGCCTCTTGATACCATTTTCCAAGTACAGCAGGGAGGCAGTGATCTGAAGATTTTTGAAACTGCCAAACCTTTAAACTGAACTGCTCAAAAATTCAAACAGTATCTCCTTTAGCTTTGTTTCTCAGAGTGAAATGTAACGGTGGAGATGAGATGAGTTGTTGATTTTTCTGCTTTTAGGGACAAGCAACAGTCCAAACCAACTCTGAGAGATCTCCAGAGCAAGTCTGGGGCCCACGTTTCCCTAAACCCCATCCCAACTTTTACCTCTGAACATCCTGCGCCTCAACTCAACTCTCAGCCCGGCCTCGGAGCTACGTTGCTGGATATGTCCCCGACTCACACGGAGACTCCTGCTGCTGAAATCTCCCTGACTGATGTTTTTGTACCGCTAGAATCCATTAAGCCCAGTAAGTAAACTGAGGTCACTTGATAGCTTTAAGCTCCTGCACGCCTGGGAGCGCATTTGTATGGATTTATTAAATGCCCTTCTCCTCTCTCTCTCGCTCTCTCTCTCTCCCTCCCTCCCCATCACTCTGTTCTCTCTTCATAGGTAGTCTGTTACCTGTGACTGTGTTTGACGGACACAGTCTGCGCGTTCTCTTTCACTTTGCTCGCGACTCGCCTCCGTCTCGCCCTGATGTGCTGGTGGTGATCATCTCCATGCTGTCCTCGGCCCCCGTCCCTGTCACCAACATAAACTTCGAGACTACAGCTCCAAAGGTCAGCAGTGAGAAAGTTGAGAGCCTTTGTCTCCCATTGGATACAGTAAATTAGATCACAAGCTGATTTTTGATAAGAGCTTCAAATATAGGCAAGACATTATTATTACACCACTGCAACTGATACTGTCTCAGTAAAGACAAAAAAATGTTGTTTTCATGTGTTAACTGTAGTCTATGGCAGCGAAGCTACAGCCCCCATCAGGAACGGAGCTCCCAGCTTTCAACCCCATCCTTCCTCCTGCTGCTGTCACACAGATCCTGCTGCTGGCAAACCCAAACAAGGTGAGACTGAACCATCTAGACACAGGGGGTCCCCTTTAAAAGAAAATGAAGCTGCTTTGGTGAAAATCAATGGGTCTGTCAAGTGTCTGATATTAAAGGGACAGTTCAGGTGTTTTGACATGGGGTTGTGTGAGGTCAGTCATATATAGTCGGTACATTACCTGCAGTAGATTCTGATCAGTGCACTCCCAGTTAGATCAGAGCACCGTCAGACCAGCAGAGTGACGTGTTCCTCTGTACCGACTATATATGACTACCTCACGTCAAAACACCTGAACTGTCCCTTTAAATGTGATGTTTCTTTCACTGCTTTCTAAATACTTTCATAGCATATATATATATATATGCTTTCTATAAAAGTGATCAGAAGTAAAAGAAATGAAGTGACAAATTACAGAATGAGTGGGGAAAGACAAATTTTACTGCCACTGGTCAGTTGAGCTGTGAAACTCATATTGTAATGGCTGTGATTAGTCTGTAGTTATCCCTCACTGAGAGGTTCTTGTAACTTACGACAAGAGTTTGTCCATTCATCCGAGGGTCTCTGAGTGTTTCACCATGTACCTGTCCACATCTCTTATCGTGTGTGTGTGTCTGTGTGTGTCTGTGTGTGTGTGTGTGTGCTTCAGGAGAAAGTGCAGCTCCAGTACAGACTAACCTTCACCATGGGAGAGCAGGAACACACCGAGAGCGGCAGTCTAGAACAGTTTCCTACTCCGGAGACGTGGGGGAACCTATAGCATTTAAACACAACCACAACCAGACAGACTCTCTGCTTTCAGACACAGCTTCCTCCTAAACCAACTCAACACTCTGCATAAGCCCGTTTTCCTTTGTAATTACATTGTACTTTCTTTGATTGGTATTGATTGTTTTCCCTGGATTACAGCTCATGCTCAGTCAGTGTAATGTGCGTATGCTTTGCTCTAAATGAGTCATGTATGTCTAGGTCTAGTCTGCTGTATGTGGCTGCTTTAAAAACAAACCTGCAACTGCTTCCTCAAAGTTGTTGCAGTCTTGTCATCTTTTTAAACAAACAGTGCTTCGAAGGAGGAAAACTACCAACAGTGTGGGTATTTGCTCATTTGGTGTGCTTTGTTTTTGTTGGGTTTTTCTTTTTGCAGCTCGGGCACAAAGTCAATTTAAATCCATGATCAGTTGCGTTTACCTTCACCTCTGCATGCTCTGCCAACACGGGACACAATGCTTGCAAAATCCAGCACACTAGGAGGGAAAGAACACGAACATGAACATTACATAGACACAGGCCACATTAGTTTGCAAAACAAAGCTCTACTTAATCAACTTTCTGTGGCATCTGTTCATTTTGTGATGAGTGAATTTCACTTATTTCTTTGACAATGACTGAGTCCACTTCTTGATTTGCAGAGAATGATTTTTTTGATGGTAGTTTCCCTGTTTTTCCCTCATCTTCCGTAAAGAGCAAGAATTACTGTAACATCAGAGTTGTGTATTATCTGCCATATGTGCCTATTTTGCAGTTCTAACTTTATTTGAATTTTAGTGCAATTTTGGATGGATTTATTTTTCTCATATTACATGTCAGTCATATTAGGTCTGCAGATTGTCTGAGATGCACATCAGCTACATCATAACCTTAAATTCTTAATATATTCAGTAGGATGAGTTACATTTTTCTTTAGCTTGTGATTTAAGTGAATATTTTAGCATTTATTGGGTAAAACTGATTATCATGCACTTGAGCATATGCAAACTGAGCGGCACGCTGGTGCTCGAGCACAGTGTCCGTCTCAAACATGTCCAACTTGTTTCAACAGTCTGCGATGCATGTCAGCCACGCTGAACACTTCCTCCTCCCCACAGGCTCTCAGTCACATTCCACTGCACTAATCTCCAATACAACTGCTCTGTAAATACCAATGATGGCAGTTCTGTTGTGTACATTTGACTTGTGCAATGTGCATGAGCATAACACTGGTAAAATATTCCAAATGGGTAATAAAGGTTTTTTTTTTCTCTGTGACCTCGTGTTGTAGGAAACTGTTTGTAATACTGCCGCATGAAAACTCACCAACACAAACACCTAACGCTCCCATCCACCTCAAGGACTTCACGAGTACACAACGATACATTGAAGAGCTTTATTAAACATGAAAAAACAAACTGTAGAAAGGGAAAATCTCCATGATCACTGCGGCAACGACTCGACCACACACTGGTGATTAACTGAATAAAGGTAACCTACAGCAGGTCGTAGGTTATTAGTTAGTACACAAAGTTAGAAAGTGTGAAAGAGAAGCTCATTTACATGCATGTGGCTTGAATGCAAAGCCCCAGCACAGTTGCCTCTATAAGGCTGAAATTAATATCTATGTCTGAAAAGGAAAAATCTCATTATGGAAAAAAAAAAATATTTTTACCCCTTTTGCTCAAGATACATCAGGGGCGAGTTTTCTTCAGTAATTCAAACTGATTTCGTAGCGTACAAAGTTTTAAATCCAAAAATAAAGATATTGAAAACAGAAACGAGCTTATGTACAAAGAGGAACTTCAGCACCTACCTTTGAGACACCTAAAGGGAAAATCAGATACTCTCTGAATCCTCTGCAGCAGCTCACGTCAAGAGGCTCACGATACAAAAACAGCACGTTTTGTATAAAAATCTTTTTTCAGGACAATCGTGTGAAAAGTGAAGTGACACAGAGGAGCTGCTGTCAAACTGAAAAACTAATGCTGATTAATTTGACTTTACAGAAAAAGTCAAAACCAGAAAGGTTCGACCATTTCTAAATGATCTGGGAACCAGTCGAAATGGTTTCAAACCAGGTCGATGCTGAAGAAGTGAGACATTTTAACAACAACACCACAGTGCACCGATGTGTTGCAACCCAAACCAGCTCATGACAGGAACGCTGATGTGACACTGGACGAAAATCGTTACAAACGACACTTCTGAATGGTTTTGAAACCGTCTGTGTGAGTGTGTGTAATGTGTGTTGTGCTGTGTGAGACTGTGGTGCACAGATTACGTTACTTTCTCCCTGAGGAAGGAGGCGGTGGTGGAGGAGCAAACTGGAAAGGGGAGTGCCCCATCAGGCCCATCATGGGCTGGGGAGGGTTGAACTGCTGGGCCATCAGAGGCTGGGGAACCGACGATGGAGGCGGGGCCTGCCCCGCTCCACCGCCCGCTGACCCAGATGTGCCCCTGGAGCTGCCGTACTGGCTGCTGCCGCCGCCGCCGCTGTTATTCTGGTACTGGTCATACGAGCTGGAGCTGGAGCTGTAGCTGCGTCCTCCGTCCCTGCTGCTGCGATCTCTGTATGAGGAGGAAGAGGAGGTGCGGTCCCCGTCCCGGCTGCTCCCACCGCGGCTGTCTCTGCTGTCCCGACTGTAGCTACTGCTGCTGCGGCTGTCCTTGGAGCTGCCGCTCCCACCCACAGAACGCATCCGGCGATCACACTCGTCCTGGTACATCAGGTTGGGGTTGTTAGAATTGGAGCCACCACGGAAGCGGGGGCGGCCACCTGGAAAAGACGAGAGAGAGAGAGAGAGAGACAAACAAAGGGAGGGCACATTCCCATCAAACTGTTAACTGGCTCATTCACACAAACATCTGTTGGCTGTGGGATAAAACTCTGACTCCTTTAAAACAACGTCACGATCAGTTGAGCTGAACTCCACAATTATCTGATCAGCAGGATGCCTCCCTCACCTCCTCCGCCTCCTCCTCCACGTCCAGTGTCAACCAGCTGCAGCAGTTTGGGGTTGATGGCCTGTCGGGCCTCCTCCAGAACCCGGATCAGCTCCCGGGCCTGGCGGAGGTTCCCCGGGGTGAAGAAGGTGTAGGCGGTGCCTTTGTTGGTGCTGCGGGCCGTACGGCCGATGCGGTGGATGTAGTCCTCCGATGAATTGGGATAATCATAATTGATGACAAACTTGACATCCTCCACATCTTGACATGTGAGGCGGCGGTGGGGGTGGGAAGGGGGCGGTGTGACGGGATCAGTTACAGGGACGGAAAAGATAAAAGAACAAGTCAGAACAGAACTAACACTAATCAATCAATCAATTTACTCCATTGATGAATTTTTAGGTTTTGTGCTTTTGAAACTGGAAACATTCAGACAGACAATACCTGCAAGACACCCACCATCCCCTGAACACATCACTTACCTGTCAAGTGAGCAACTACTTGTAAAATATACAATTAGAAAATTAATTTACTTACCATGCCAATTACAAAACAGGGCTCAATAATCTAGTATAACAATAATTAAGTGCCTGCACACATGCAAATAGGGTTACGTGCAGCAAAAGCTACTGATCAACTTCATTAAATGATGAAAAAGTTACAGTGAATTGCTGAAGAATTTAGAGAATATTAAGTGGCATTTAAAAAAAAGGGAGAAACTAATTATGAGAAGCGAGTGACCCTGAACTGAAACCTCAACAGGTGATTCTGGTGACAAAGACAGATTCAGCCGATTAATGGTTTAAAGTATAAGAATCAACTGAGAAAGTTAATTTTCTTTTAAACAAAAACAGATGACAGGTCTGTTTCTCATTACAGTTGACGAAGGGCTCAGAAGACACTGCTGATTACAGAGAAACGAGTCTTTGTTTTGGAAGCGTAACGATGAAGGCCGGCAGAGGAGGAAATGAAGGGAGGGTTGAGGCACCGTACTTACCCTGTATCAGAGATTTAGTGATGACATACAAAGTTACCCCTCTGACCCCCCTTCCCCTCGCCAGTCCTGGGAGGTCTGCAGAGGTAGGAGGAGAGCGCACAGGACAAAAAGTAGTCCCTTCTCCCACCTCACCACTCCTCCACAGCACTCCCAAAGCTGGAAACTGTCTGGGCCAGAGCTCCAGCTGGACTGAGCTGGGACGTGGTGCTACTCTAGGAGTACAAGGTGACGGCTTGAGAGGCCTTTACGGGATTATTTCATGTGAACCTGAAGGATCTTGTTATAGACTTACTCTGCCATTTCTTACATTAGTGGGTGGCAGTGACACAGGGAGTGGCAGACTTCCCTGTGAGGCTTTTATGGTCTGTGATTGGTGAAGCTTGTTCCAAATGCCTCCCAGGTCACTTCCAAAGGCAGTGATATCATAGAGCCCAGCTTTTCAAGTGAAGTAACAAGAAACAGACACAACGGAGAAGACGCGTGGACGCTTTCATGGAGAGGGATTTGACAGTGGGCTCTGCTAGGGAATTTGACTCCCGACAGCTTGTGCTAGTCCTTATGGGGCGTTTAGCAAGTCATCAAAAGCTGGCGAGTTATTTACAGACATAACTGGCAGTTGGGTATGATGTACACAAAGAAAAATTGAAAGGACATATGGTGGATTTGGGGACAGGGGGCAAAGGGACAAAAAGGACAGGAAGTCAGAAATGGTCTGAAGAAAACAACACAAAGGTAATAAGAGAGCACGAGATAGGAGGCTGAAGAGGAAGGGGGAGGGTGGAGGAGAGAGGTAGAGAAAAGAGACGAATGAGAGAAAGAAGGGAGAGAAGTGACGACCACGAAAGAAAGTGACAGCAGGTAAAAGAGAGATGGTGTGCGAGAGAGAGAGAGAGAGAGAGAGAGAGAAACAAAGTACAGAAGAGAACAAGAGTGAAAGAGAGAGGGAAATCGATTATAGATAGGTGGCTCCTCCAGGCCAGGACTCCTGCCAGCCAGGACCAGACATGACGTCCGCAGAGGGAGAGGCCGGCCGGCACAGCCAGTGGTGGGGGGTGTCAGGGGCTGGCATCAGGGGGCAGTTCAGAGGGGAGCCTCCAGCATAGCCGTCCATGCCCGGCTTTGGCTGCTTTCCACCCTCACTTCCTGGCAGTTGTCTGTTTCTCTGTCTTCTGGTAGCGCACCACTGTATCTCAGCTTCACAAAGCTTAACTTTCATGTATCTAAGTTTAATATCTGCAGGACTAATTTAGGTTAAAAAAAATATTTGTTTGGTATTGGAAATGGAAATGTAAATCCTCAGGGACTGTGCAGCAAAGTTTTCTTAATCCATATCCCATCAGAATAAATACAGATATTGAAAACTTGTCAAAAGTCACTGGGTGAATCTGAATCGATCTAATCAGGAAATGATGTGGTGCGTCACTGTGATGATGGCATGGCCAAGGGGAGCCCACCCTCCTCCACACCGCCCTCTTCGCCCTCTCACCTGACAGCCGCCCCCGACCCTAGGATCAAATTTGGAAGCCCAGCAGCATCCCGCGCTTGCCCCCCCCCCATGTCGCCCAGGGAGCCAGTGTCCTGGAAGGGGGGAGAGTTTTGTTTGTGGGCACTGTTCTAGGTTTTCAGCGGAGATGGCTGTGTCTGGGACTGATTAATCAGGCCGTCTCTCTCCCCACGTCAGCTTTCGATTTGTCATGCCTAGGTCCGGCTGCAGGCTCCCGAGGGCCTGTGTGCTTCTAGTTGCCGGAAGAGAGACTTGGAAACAAAAAAACAAACAAAAACAAAATGAAAAGAAAACAAATGAACATAGAATTAGGTTAAAGGTCGATTGCCATCCTGTAAGGGGCTACTTCACTAGCCTCACCCCTTACATCTTCACACTTCATTCAACATCATTCCTATGTTCAGTGTTCGTCAGTGTTATTCAACAGAGCAAAGTGGCTTAAATCTTCACAGGAAGTCCTGCTTCATATATGGTGCTTCTTAGATACACCCTCTATCTGAGAAGCATCACATGCTGCTTAAGAAAAGCAAATCTCTATGTGTTTGTGGTTGACGTTTAACCATAAATCTACTGTAAATAAACATGCAGTGAAAAGCCTGATTATTATATTAATCATTGTTCATAGTATTCTTCATAGTGAATGGTCAAATATCTTGTGTGTGTACCATATCTGTGTGTGGTTATACTGAGGAAATGATTTGCTCTGCACTTGAGCACACAGGACATACCCAAACCGCGTGAGGCCACGTCAGTAGCGATGAGGATGGGAGCTTTGCCGCTGCGGAACTCTGTAACACGAGACAAAGTTATAGACGATCGAGAGCAAAGAGACAACATCAAAGAAGAGGGAACGATATTGTGAGTCACTGCAGTTCAGATGTCTCTGTGTTTATTGTACCTGACAACACCCAGTCTCTCTCTGGCTGGCTCTTATCACCATGGATACACATGGCAGGCCACCTGGGAAAAAAAACAGCAACCAGTCAGATATGGTTTCAACCAGTTTTTAATCACTGTGAAAAGGAAGAGCTGTGGCTCAGCTACAGGACATGCAGAACACAGTCATACATGATCTCATGCATGATAAAAATGACAGATTAAACTGTACAGAACCATATTAAACTACTGCTGCTGGGATGAATTCATTTTGTATAAAAAGGCTTTTTTTTTTAGCTTGTTTTTCAGATGTGCACTCACACCTGTTAGATCTACTCACCCATCACGTCTCATTCTGCGTGTGAGGTCGTCACATCGTTTCTTGGTCTCCACAAAGATGATGGTCTTGTTCTCTTTCTCAGCCATAATCTCCTCCATCAGCTGGATCAACCTCAAGAAAGAAAATGTAAAGTAAATACCAGACACACAATAATGACAAATCATACATGCAAATGTCCGCCTCACTCACCACTTTAGAAAAAAGAGGCTACAATCATTAAATTAAGGATAAAAAGCAGGAAAGAGTAAACGAGTAGAATTAAGATAGAAACAGCAAGAGTGCCATTAACTGTACTGTACTTAACCAAGGCAGGAAAATAAAGATCTGCTATGCGACCAGCCACTTACTTGTGGTCCTTCTCACTCTCCATACAGACATCAACTATCTGAAGGATGTTGTGGTTGGCACTGAGTTCCAGTGCTCCAACATTGATTTGGACATAGTCCTTCAGGAAGTCCTCTGCCAGCTGGCGAACCTCTTTAGGCCACGTAGCGCTCCACATCAGGGTCTGTCTGTCAGGCTGAGCAAGGAGCACATCAAATAAGCAACATGTTAATGACATACACTCAAATTAATCCAAATGAAAACATACTACAACATAATGCATAAGATATCAAAGCAGGAATTTCTCTGGTGCTAAAAGTCAAGCACTAATATTCTACATCCTCTTATCAACTTTACCCTGATCTGGTCCACAATTTTGCGAATCTGTGGTTCAAAACCCATGTCCAGCATACGGTCTGCTTCATCTAGAACTAAGTATGTGCAGCGCCGCAGGTTGGTCTTTCCAGCCTCAAGGAAGTCAATCAAACGACCTGGCGTGGCAATGCAGATCTCAACGCCTAGAAGAGATGAAGTGATTTATTAGTTATGGCGCACAAAACAGTGTTAGCGTTAATCCGACAGTAAACACTCCTCACCTCTCTCCAAGTCTCGGATTTGAGGTCCCTTGGGAGCACCTCCATACACACAAGTGCTTTTGATGCGGGATGACTTCCCATAGTCATATGCCACCTGCTGGACCTGCTGCGCCAGTTCTCTTGTGGGGGCCAGAACCAAGCACTACAAAGCACACGTATAATGCCATAACAATCCACTGCTTATAGTGTTAAGACACTGAAATGTTGTGTGAAAATGAAGTTTAATATCATTCTGGTAAACTCTGATATTCCAAAGCACACTACTCAGTGTATTTGGTTTCTCATCACGTACAATGGGTCCGTCTCCACGCTCCAGGTAGGGCTGATGGTTGATGTGCACAATTGCAGGCAGGAGATACTGAAGAAAGAAAGAGAGGAGAAGTCAGAGGATTTTGCTGCTGTGCTATTCACCAGTACTTTCTGCAGGGGTGGACAGTAGTGAAGTACTTATACTTGAGTACTGTACATTTTTGGGATATCATTCTTTTTGTAAACTTGTGACTTTTACTCCACTACACTTAAAAGACAAATATTGTGCTTTTTATTCACCACATTTCTATGAAGTACTGAAGCACTCTTACTTTGGAGCACAGCGTTTAATCAGTGGAATGAAATTTCTTTTATTTTGAAAATGTGATAGACCATACACTGTGTTCATCACAGGAGAAAAACCAATCACAGCCAGCTCCTCCACTGCCAGTCATGTTTGAACCTGTCAGTGTCCTAACAATGGCGACATTAGATAAAGATGAGGCAGAAGATTCTTCACCAGAGAGTCTGATCTGATCTGAAGTCTGTGTTTGAAGTTTTAGAAATAAAGGAAGATTGATTTAGTTTTAAATGTTTGCTTTGTTTACCACGACCAGACTTCATCACTGCCTTAAAAAAAAAAGAAATAGAAAACCAACAATAGCTCCTTTTGTTAATTCAACTGTGTTTTTATGGCCATTTCTACAGGCTTTATAGAACATACGAGCTTTTTATTCTACAGGTTCCACAAGTGTCTTCAGTCAGTTGTTTCACAGTCATTCAGTTCTGTAATGTGGAACAATACAACAATGTGTTTACATAAAAAAAATGTACTTTTGGATACTTAAGTATTTTTAAAATCAAGTACTCCAGTACTTAACTTTAACTACTAACACAACTTTCACTTGTACTGGAGTCATATTTGACCAGGAGGATCTATACTTTGAACCAAATAATGATGTTGTGTACTTGGTCCACCTCTGACTTTATGTATTCATCTTTGCAAGTAGTTGAGTAGACGAAGATGTGCCTCTCACCGATAATGTCTTCCCAGAGCCAGTCTGAGCAATGCCCACCATGTCTCTCCCGCTGAGAGCCAGGGGGAAACCTTGAGCCTGAATGGCTGTGGGCTCCTTGAAGTTCTGATGCATCAGTACATCCATTACATATTCTAGATGGACAGGCGGGAGAAAAACACCAGCAGATTTAGTATAGTTGCTGTTGTGGCATTGTATGTTACTGTTGCACAGTTTAACATGTTTAGATATCCATGTATGTAGGTGCTTACGGGGAAACTGTGCCTGATGGAAGGTGGTGACAGGCTTTGGGCAGCCTGAGCCTCGAACAGTGATTTCTTTCTTCCTGCGATACTCCTCAAGATCATACTGAAATCACAAGACAACAAACGAGTGTGAAACTAACAAACCTTAACGGACCAAGAATCAGAGTGGTATTTACAAAACTGAAAATGACACTTGTCTCCCTTTTCAGGACCCTAACACAGGTTTTCCATCATGTAGCTGCACTAGAGGATCAGACTGTGATACTACAGGAATACCTGGCTCATTCTCTGCACTTCAATGTGTTCACTGTAGAAGTTCTTCTCAAATTTGGGAAGCTCGTCCAGGTCCCACCTCTTCTTTCGTAAACGGTCCCCGGGGTTCCCAAACTTCTTACCCGACGGTGGTCCACCTCTGCTGGACCCGAAACGAGGGCTGCTGCACAAATAATGACACATACATTGCAAAGCTAGTTTTACTTCGCCTTCTTGCGTTATACTTACAGCGACAAACGTATCAAAATATTTAAACTGACAGTTTGTGCTAGCATTAGCTCACATGCTAATTGACAATGTTGACTCGCGCTGCTTACCCTCTGTCACGGGCACGGTCTCTATCTCTGTCTCCGTACGAACCTCTCATTTTGAGGACACAGGCTCCTCCGACTGATAAAGTGCCTCTGTAATATCACAGAAGTGGCCCGTTTATCTCGAAGAAGAAGTTACCCGTCCTTCGCTTTTACCGTTACCGTCTCAGGCCTCGTTTGAGAAAGACGCTAGCTAACTATAACCGAGGCGTCCTCTCTGTTCCAGCCAAATGCTAACGCTAACAGCTAACTTGGAACACGGACTGAATGAAGAAACTGTGGCTTTCTTACAGGCCTGTTGAAAACCCAAATACGACGAAACTTAGACTTCGGTTCAAATGACACAATAATAAGGCGCACCTGTGATTGCACCGCTATGTTGTTGTTGTTAGCTTAGCCTTCAGCCTGCGAGCAGAAGCTTCTGTGATTGGCTGGCTGCTGGGAAGCCCCGCCCCCAAGGATGATTGACACCTCTAGGTCTCAATCCTTTATGTATTTGGGCCACATTATGTATTTTATGTATTTATTTCTTAACATTAACCACTTTGTAGAAAAACACAGCTTTACACATTTTCTAACATACATATTCTTAACTGTCTTTACTGCATACCACTTTATATGTTGATGTATTTATGAATAAGTTATATTGAAAAGTGAATATGATTTTGACCAATATCAAGATTTACCAATCATATAACTATATATATTATGATCCTTTGTAAATCGTGTAATTCATTGACACGTTATTTAATTGACACTTCAATGTGCATCATATCTCGTATGCCAATGACAGATTTCCAAAATCTAAGCCTGCATAGTAACTGGCAGCTGTAACTGTCAAGATGCTATAAATATACAGTGGTATGAAAAAGTTTAGGCACCCCTCTGAGGCTGCATAATAATTTACTCCGTCTTCACAGAAAATGATCACAGTGGCATGCCATTCATTTTCTAATAAAAGCTGAGTACTGGGGTATTTTCCAGACAGAGATTTTAAGTGTAGCAATATTAAGTTGTATGAAATTAAATCAGTTGTGAAAAATAGGCTGTGCAAAAATTTGGGCACCCTTGTCATTTTTTTTTATTTGAATACCTGTAACTATTTAGCACTGATTAATTGGAACACAAAATTGGTTTGGTGAGATCATTAAGCCTTGAACTTCATAGACAGGTGCATCCAATCATGAGAAAAGGTATTTAAGGTGGCATCATTATGGTTTAGGGGAAGGCTACAAAAAGCTATCTCAGAGATTTCAGCTGTCAGTTTCCACTGTGAGGAACATAGTGAGGAAATGGAAGACCACAGGCACAGTTCTTGTTAAGGCCAGAAGCTGCAGGCCAAGAAAAATATCAGAGAGGCGAAGGCGAAGGATGGTGAGAACGGTCAAAGACAACCCACAGACCACCTCCAAAGACCTACAACATCCTCTTTTCTGCACACACGCCACAAACAGAGTCGCTTGAGGTATGCAAAAGCACATTTGGACAAGCCAGCTTCATTTTGGAATAAGGTGCTGTGGACTGATGAAACAAAGATTGAGTTATTTGGTCATAACAAATTTATGCACCTGTCTAATTTTGTTTTGATGCATATTGCACATTTTCTTCACCATTTTCTGTTAATCCAATAAACCTCATTTCACTACTGAAATATTGCTGTGTCCATCAGTTATTTGATTGATCAAAATGAACTTGCTGATCCAAACACCCACTGTTTTATAAATGAAAATAATGGAAATTGTCAGGGGTGCCTAAACTTTTTCATACCACTGTAAGCAAAGTACTAGAATAAAGGCTCTTACTTTCTACCAATGCTGACAACAGGGGTTTCTACTTTTCTGGTCACTCTGACCTATTTCTAAAGTGTACTTTAAAATAGCACAATCATTTTACAGTGTCACAAACTATTACATATTGTTGTGACAGTGGTGTTTACAAGTGTGAAAGCTGACTAACAAAAAGGTGGTAGATATGTTTCCATTTTGTCTTTTATTTCCTTTTCAACACCAACAGAAACCATTATAGCATCAAAACATGAGATATTACCAATATACAAATTAAAAAGTATGCAACAGAAATAAATCAGGAGAATATATGAAAATTAAAATATTAAAAACACAAAAATATTAAAACGAAGCACTATACCAAGCAATGCCATTACAGTCATCACCATGAATGTTTCGCAGTGCTTAGATTAACTATTTACAACATTCTTTCCTTTCTGGTATAATATTTCCCGATTTAAAATATTCAGCTTTACAATTAACATCCAGCGCTTAAATCACATAGTATCAAAATTATCATTTGATAGTGTTTTGAATCAAGAGGCTCGAGTCTGATGTGCTGTTGCCTCGGGGCAAAGTGTAAGGCAGTGAATGTCACTTTTTCAATACCACTAAGTTAATGTTAAATTAATAGAATAAATTCACTCAACTTTTGCCTCTAACTGAATCACTGCAGGCTCAGCAGAGAGATGGATAACGAGATGCGTTAATTATTGAGTGCAGGAGGTGGTTGGAAAGGATACGGGTTAGCAGCTACAGCCGGAAACCAACTTTTATATCCACTAATGGTGGATTCAAAAATTCACAAATACCATAGACCTATATTTCATTAGAATATAGGTCTGAAGTGACATATATTCTAATGAAAGACGTTTTTCTCTTCACGAAGATGTAAAAGATCATCCTGACTGCATTCATCGTGCATAAAGACTGTGCTGCACTATGTTCACCTGCAGTCAGTCGACTAGAGTTACACCTGTTTGGATTCTGCTCTCAACATAAACATAAAATGCTTAGCGCACATTTAAAAGGCAGCGTTGGGCCTTATGTCATGTGTCCAAAGGATCTACTCAGCTTTTACACCACTGTGCTCTGCCATTAAATATTTAATACCACAACCACAAGCAACTGCAATGTCGGCTGCTGCTAAAACGCATATTAAACCATAGCTGATGACAGTATGAACAATCAGCTCAAATACACTTTGTATTATCTTTTGGAAAAAGATAACAGAAGAGGGACAGGAGGATGGCAGGCCTGCTTCACCACCATGGATCAATGTTTTCTGCTTCAGTGTCCCTTTGAAGCAGCTAGCTTGAAGATCTGTTTCATTATCTTTGGCGACACCTATGGCCATACACCGCAATTACAGGTTTGTTATTAAACCACACTGTGTTAGTGACTTGTGTTCCTTGTGATTTGGCGGGTGAGTCTCACCAGACACTCAGTTCAGAAAACTGTAAAATGCAAGGACTCATTCAGCGATAGATTTAAACGGACCTATTTTAATGAAAATCTTTGAGATTGCCACTTTAACATATATATTTTCTTACTGTACCGAAACACTCTGTCCCTCTTGCGAACCAGCTTTTAATGCCCAAGTGTTTCTATTCAGGATGTGAGTACAGTCAGATTTAAAGCCTTGTTTGCACTGACATCCTTATTTGTCTGTAGTGACCTATGTCCTGACTCACGACTCCTCCAGCAGTGACGCCGTTACAAACTGTACCAGCAGAGGCAGGCTTGATCTGTGCTGCCTGTAACGCCCTTAATTACGGGAATACAGTCCACAGCAGGTCACAGCTGGGCCGGGTCTGCGGGGAAGTGTTGCTTCTTCGGTAATCTGTAATCTGTGTGTGGGTGTTGTTTTTCCGTCAGTCCCTCTGCCCACACTAATGTCTCTGCTACAGCTGTTCTCTCCGAGCTCCACAAACAATAACATTGTGGGAGGAGCTCAAGCCGTGGCCATCAGCCGCAGTCACACTATTACGCTCATGATTCACTTGTTCATATGAATCCCCAACAAAAGATGAAAACATACACAGAATATTTATAACATTTCTGGAATAAGAATTTTCCAACACACTAGTCTTTAAATGAGTTATACCTTCAAGGTCATACAACGTTTAAATAAAAAAAATATTTGCGATTAAATTCTTATATATTAAAATGAAGCCCTGCAATACAAAGGCTCCTTAGTTTTCTTGACTATAAATCAGCTCTACATCTGAAGACAGTGTCTCATTAACTGAAGCTCCCTCTATTTGGCAACGTTAAGAGGCAGAGTTGGCAGAGGGGTGAGGAGGAGTCTGTATTAAGAATCAATATAAAAGCTAAAGAACGAAGGAGGCCATGTTTTTCAGAAGAGGATGGCACTTGTGAACATTTTACATCTGATGGGGTTTTTTGTTTTTTTGCCATGGTGTCTAAAGTGCAGCATAAAGGATGCTGGATGCAGGCACGGTTATTTGTACTGATCCATCGTCATGGATCCATGGATGAATGTAGATATTGTATTTCTGTCAGTAATGGCCTTTATCATAAATGCCCCCGACCTCCCTTCACCCTAACTTTATTTGTAAACAACACGTCCGTCCTCTTCATGCTCCCTCTGTCTCCTCTCATTTCCTCTTTTCCTTGTAAAACACCTCCCTGCAGTCTGCTAGCCGCAATGTCTAAATGTGAAAAAGAAAACCCCAAAAACAGAATCTGATCTTCCGTGCTCAGGTTGGAACGAAAGATCTGATTTGTCACACAGCTGCTAAAAATTCAATATGGGCTACCGGGGGGGTAAAATGACCTTCTGAGTGCACGTCTGAGTCTCAGAACTCGTCGTCAGAGCTGAGCAGCAGGGTCTTTTCGTTGTCCCCGCGAGTGCTGAGGTTACTGTGGCTGCGGGAGAGCGGTGGCCCCCCGCTCCGGTCCAGCGTGGACTGCTGGGTGTACTGCTGATAAGCTGGGGAGAAGTTATGTATGGCATCCTGGACCATGTCCCCTGGATTCATGGTCTCCTTCAGGCTGCTGGAGATGCTCTTCATTGGGGCGCAGCGACCTGGAAACGTGAAGGTGAGACATTAATAAAGAGACACGGAGCAAAGTGGAAGGCGAGGGAGGGAGGGATGAAGGGATGAAATGAAATGAAACGACAGAAACTAAGATTCCATCCAGTTGTCAAGTGAATTTTCTAAATAAATATTTGAAGTGTTGGATAAAAAAAAATACACTTTTGCAAAATGTAATCAGAAGCATGTAAGAAATAAATCTGTTCGCTATGAATTATATAACAGAGCAACAGCGGGTAGTAAGATATTTCTGGAGGTCAAGATGGATGCTAATTCTAACATTTATTGTTAAATAATAAACTAATACAGCTGGACCTGGACAGTGAAGATTTAACATCACTTTCTGCTTCTAATTTGCATCGCCTCAGTTCTTAGCACGCACATTTTTTTTTTTTTTTTTACACACAAATGTTTTCCTGCTTCTAGCAAGCAGAGGCATGTTTGATGGAAGAGGAGAGAGAGAACAAGAGGGGACTCCTGACCCTGGGTAGAAAACATAAACTAAACTAAATTATTCCAGGAGAAACAAAAAGGCAAAATGTTCAAGGGCTGAATTCACTGACGACAAAATGAAAGACGGAGACGAGACAGCAAAATACCCATAATTCTAAATGTATCAATGGAATTCATGCTGGACTTGACAGTAATGAACATATGAGCACAATGAAAACACAGAAAAGCAAATAAAAAGCACTGTAATATACAGGACTGGGGCAGATACAGACGAAAGACAGCTAACGTCAGACCTACCGTACTGTCCATAGATAGGAAATGAGCCTTTCAGTGCAGCGCAGGGAAGAAGAGAGAAAAAGGAGAGAAGGGAGACAATAAGAAAGTCAAGATGAAAATGAAGGAGCAGAAAAACAGAGCAGATGAAAAGAGAAATATTTAAAGATATTTAAGAGCGTGATAAAGATAGGAATCAAAGTAAAGGGTGGGACACAAAGAGTGAGGTCAGATCAGAGACTGTAGAAATCAGACTGTATCAAGAGTCCTGTGTGAATTATACATCAAGATTAGATAGAACATTAAATTAATCTCCCAAACAGGCAAACTATTCATTACCAATCATTAGTCATTATCCACACATTTATCTTTACTTCTCCAACCTCAAACCAAGATGAACGACACCGGCTTCTTAATACCCCAAACATGCACTTCCTTTACCGTATGAGTCCAGTCTTTTATCCATGTAGACTTTGTAAGTAAAGGCATGGCGCAGAGCGACAGCAGCAAAGAACATCTCGATGCAGATGATGAAGTTTTGGTAACCGGCAGCAACTGTTCCCTCGCCCACTGAGAAGTCAGCAGAGCTGATCTGAGGGATGGCTCCGCACTTCTCCAGGATGGCCAGCAGCATCCCTGAATCACACAGAGAGAGCCAGAGTGAGAAAAAATAGAAATCACACACACAGAGGAATTACACAAGAAGTTTTCAGCCACATTTTTCCTGTGCAATTTGAATTTTTTGCGCAGGAGGAAATTAAAATTAAAACCCGCTGCCACAAGAAGTGACGACAGACACGGGCCACAAAAGGAAGTAAAACTCAGTAAGTGATGAGGTTACAGGACACGTTTCACCCTCTTCTTCTGGGTTTATTTCTGGCACAGCGATGCAGCATCATAGCCCACAACCCAACAAATGAAACACACAAATTGCAGCTGCGAAAACACCACGCTGAGAAAACAAATGAATTCATAAAGGAAGCAAAGCTGTCTCTTAATTACACTCTGTAATCTGGTTGCAGCCACTAGAATATTTCACTTAAGGAGCAAATCCTTTGGAAATACACTTCAAATGTAAACAATAAAAAAAACATGGTACAAGCAGCTGGACAAAATAAATAGACAGCCACATGTACTGTTTTCTTACCCTGCCAGAAGGAGAGGAAGATGACCGACTTGACCATGAAGAACTTGAGCACGGGGCTGTATGGGACGAGCAGTTCACGCGTGGCGAAGTAGAAGAGGAAGAGAGCGTAGAGCGACAGACTGACGGAGATGTTGTAGATGATGGTCACGTACAGGTAGCCACTAGCAACACTGGAGGAGAGAGGCATTTCAGTGTAATGACCAGACTGCACAGTGGAGATAACAGGAGACTTGAATTTATATCTTTTTGAAAACGACCACTCGTTTAAAGATACGAATACTCTGCATTCAGAAGGTTGGACTCTAAAGACTTTTGGCTGGTGTCGGTCCGTGACGCAACACAGCGAGTCAGAACACGAGGAGTCACTGCTCAGAGCTCAAACGTACTTAAAGTCTCCATCTCTGTATTTCCCAAAGGCCTGAAGAATGACGGTGATCACTGCCATCAGGGGTTTCACCACACAGAACTGGAGAGTTGCCTGAGGAGGCAAGAGTGAGACAGGTCGGGAGGCGGAGGAGGAAACACGGTAGGAAAACACAATGAGTACGTCAGAAGAAATAATAGTTTGACTCATAGGTACAGCAGTCTTTACTAATTCTATAAATCGAGTATAAAGCTTCTGACAACAACCAGTTTTCAGTGACTAGCAATACTAATGATATCAACATTAAATCAATGAGTCAGTGGAGGAAAGTGGATCCCTGTCATACTATATGGTAATGAATAAAATGGCTGCCAGTGGTTAACAGCAAAGTGATCTGTGTTGTATTTGTATGATCCAACGTGCTGTAGCACTGGTGTGGACAGTCTTTCTGTGAATCTCAACACTAAAACAAAGTGACACCGCCATGTGAGCGATATTACGCAACGTACGGCAAAATGGGCAAAGAGGGTGTTTGGTACCTGTTTGCAGAACCTGAGGAAACCAATGGAGTAGGTTTTCCCCCACAGACAACAGGTCCCGTACACACAGCTGGACCTACAGTGAAGAGCAGGTTCATACAGGTCAGGATAGATAGGACAGGTATGCAGGTTATTTGAACCATATGAATAGAACGGGAAAAACAGGGATGATGAGAACAAACGGGACTTACTCGATAGGTTTCCCTCTGATCTCAGCCATGATGGCACTCTCTCCTCCCAGATACTCATAACACAGACTCAGGAAGTTGTAGATGACAAAGGCTGCAGGAAAAACATGTTACTGGTTTTTTTTTTTAAGGTGACCGCTGGTATTTGTAAAATCACACAGACACTTGAAAACCCTGGATGTTTCCAACAACATATTGATGCACGACGGCTATAGCGGCTGTGGTTTAATTACGGCGATTCAGTTTTAGTTATACATACAAGTGTTGTTAACACTCGGTCATGATTACAGTTATGTTTTGCTGATTCTTTCTTTCAGAGCTGCTGAGCTTTCCATTTCAAGGCAGAAAGGTGAGTCATCCCCATCAGCAGGCTTGGAAATGACGGGGTAATGGTTGTGAGTGAGGTGGTGTAATTATATGGTGTACAGTAGCTCTCTGGTGCTGAGGGCTGAGCATGGGACGCCTGTGGAAACATTACTGAGGAAAGCTCACAGTCATGTCACACAATAGAGTCACGTAAGACAAGTGAAGCAAACACACTGACAGTAAGGCATCAAAGTCCCTACATTGGTTTACCTGTCCGCTTCTGTATTGATTTCAAAATTCTTTAATTTGTTTTTAAAGCACTTCATGGTGTTGCACCAGGAGACATGTCACGTCAGGCTTAAGGCTTACGAACCAGCGCTGCATCTCAGGTCCTCCGGAACAAAAACCTTCAGCGGGGCAGTTTTCAGCTTTTATGCCCCGAGCTGATGGAACAGTTTCCCAGAGGACCTGAGACTCGAAACTTACCTCCTCAGCCTGGCTTTTCATTTAATATAGTTTTAGTCATTAGTCACTTTATTTTACTTACTTTTTTTATTGCAATTATGTTCAAAATTGTATTTTATTCTATTTGACCTATTCTTTAATTAATCTATTTTATTATATTTTACCTACTTTATTAACTTTTTTTTTGCTCATGTTATTAAAGCTTTTTAAATCTATTATTGTATCTCATTGTCGGCTTGTGAAGCACTTTGAACTGCACTAACCTGTTTGAAAAGTGCTATACAAATAAAGTTTGATGAATTGATGTGATGTTTTGTGTTTCTCTTCCTCAGCTACACCAGGCGTTTCCCTAATCCCTTCTATTCTATCTGATACATAATCAATGCAGCCAGCGACACTAGTTGTTTTAGCACTAACCTGACAAATCTAGACTGTGCATTAATACGCAATGGATGGTGTCTATTCATAAATGCAATGATACTGACATACCTGCTCTCAACTCTGAAACCCATCCTTCTCACATACAGGCAGTTCACCCAAATAAGTAAACAGGACAGTTACAGCATATGTTGTGTACTGGTTAATAATATATTGGCTATTTAGCAGAGAAGCAACATATAATTGAAATGAACCGGACTGAACTGCACACTGATCCCAGTAATGTGTCTCTGAGCAGAATGTTTTCTCGTCTGCTGCCCTGGGTGTTCTCAGGCTAATTTGAGGGTAACCCACACACACCAGCTCCCCACTGCCGCAGCTCTCTTTTCTGTTGAAAGTGGCTGAGTTTAAAAGTAGCACACTGAGTGACAACCCCTGCCAGAACACAGTCAGCACGGTGCCGGCTTTGTTAATGTAGCATTATTACTGACACTGGACTTTTTTCAGTCTAAAATGTTCTGCCGCTGCTTTTAGCCCCGAAAGGACCGGCAGTATGAAAGATGACAATAATCTGAACATGCATTCTGGGAGTATAAATATCCTGAAGTGTTAACAATAAGAGCAACAACGCATAAATGTCTCATCGATCTAGATCCTCCAAGTCAAAACTGTCCTTTACTCAAGAACAATAACATTTACTTTTAATGTGCTATTCATTCATTAGATGATTTGGATGAAAACAGTGACCATCACAAGTTCTGGATCCAAGGCCCTCAAACTGAGTATTAAACCAACAGTTCAAACCCCTCCAAGTCATTCATTCCTGCACCATTTTAAAAATCAAAATCACTTCAAATCAAGACCTCAATAAATTTAAATTAAGACCGAACAATGTGGAAATGATTTCTCACTTTTGTTTTTGCTCTCCTGTAAACACTGTTTTAAAATAGAGGCGGAGTAGAAAATTCAGATCTAAACACCTGCAGCAGCACATGTATTAAAGAACCACACCACTCATTTTGCATGTTGGTAGAAATAACTATTACTTCCTATCATTGCTTAATATTTTCTAAATCCTACGACAGAATTTGAGATGAACTTTTAAGTAATCAGAGGAAAAATAGCATCTGTTCTTATATACCTTATATACCTTACAGCCCCTCCCTGTCGACCCGTGGAGAAAATGTGTGTGTAAATGTGTGTCTGTTAAGAAAAGTGGAACAAGTGACATGAAACAGCAACACCATCATTATTAATACTGGCTTTGTTTTTTCTGCCAGTCTTAAACACACTATCTACAAATGTAATACCTATAATAAATTTATGGTAAATAAAAGACATTTTCAGACCTTATTTTCCTACTTTTAAAGATTTTTTAACGACCCGCAGGAATCCTGATTACAGGCTGGTGGGACAAAGAGCAACGTTGTGGTTTATCTGTTCACAAATGAGACGGCTTTTAAAAAAGTCTTCCCAAGGATTTGCTCGTTTTCATACAGTTGCTAGGTAACAGGTCTCCCCCTCCCCTGCAATCCCAACAGGCCGCAGAGACATGAGAACAAAGATGGCAACCTTTTTAAATGAAGACACTGCAAAGGCCATCTGCCACTGGGGTATCACCACACATAAATTCTCACACCCTTGTTTCTACTGGGAATCAAAAGACACACACTGGAACACTCTCAACACTGTGGTCAACACTGTGGTCAACACCGGGCTGCAGCGTGCCCGTCAAATATGGCGGCATACAATACAGACTGCAGCAGAAAATGCTAGTGTACCAGTTCACTGCACCGTGTTTCTCCATCCACTCACCTTCGTAGCAATCTCGCACCGTGTCAAAGTACACGTAATACTCCTCATTGGTGAAGAAAAGGAGGCTGAGCCAAGAGTCGAAGGCGTAGATGGGGACTATGAAGAGGATCCGAACTATGTGCCTCTGTTCATTTGGAGAGCTGTAGTAACGTAGGTGCATGTAGATCTTAAAAAGAACAGAGAAAGAAGAGGTGAGAAAAAAAAAACAGGATCCATCAAAAATAAAGAAGCGATAACAGATATCAGATATGCAAGAACATGATTTTCACAATTCTCCCATAAAAGACACAATTATCTGACCAGAAGCGTGCAAAGATTAAATAACACGAGTGCCTACACTTACATGCTTTAACCATCATTTACTTACTGCTACTATTTATATTAATTCTGTGATCTTTTTATGATTCTGTCACAAATTTGGTGCAGAAATGAGTCACTGCCAGAGCGTGAAGCTGCGATGTCTGCAGACATCAAACACTGTTCCAGTTGGTGATAATTATACGTCCATGTGTGTGGATGGTGACTGAATTGTAGCTGCTGTTTCGGATCCACAATTGTCCAGTAGATTTAAAACAGCAGGTTTGAACTTTTCACCTAACTTTTTCCTCGTCTACATCAGCTGTCCAAAAGTTGCTAAGGCAGCAGCTGGAACATTTTTTCTTCATGGCCTCATATTGACTCACTGGGACTCTGGTTTTGCGATAGAGCTGCTCATTCTAGGAACACTGCGTAAGCTAAAACGTGAAATTAAATAATCGAAAAAGGAGGGAGAGACAGACAAGACGATGCACTGAAACACAGTCGTAGATGCATATACACATTCACATGAGAACATCTGTTCTTATACAAACGCACAGAAAAACAGTTTCTGCATTTTCAACGTTTCCAAAAAGTGACCTGTTTATTTAATCAGAGAGCACCAACTGTGATGCAGTGTCCCACACTGTTTTGCACAAGTTCAAATTAAAAACTACCTAAAAACAAATGTGTGTGTGAAACCACAGCTCAGATAATAAATGGGTTTGCAGACACTAACTGCTACCTCATGAAACCTGCATGTGTGTCCTCACCAGGCTTTAGTCTGCCTGTACAGGTCACAATACAGCCAGTATACATTTGCCTGAGTCGTGTGTGACTGCAAGGTGTGTGTTGCGTGCGTGCAATGACATTGGGGTTGTTTCAGGTAATTGACACTGGGGCTTTTAAAACTCCTATTCAGAGCAGCAGACGGCAGGAAGGACAGGGTGGGCCTTTGTCAGCAGCACCTCTGTCTGCACCATCCGGCTCCTTTCCACTCACACAATGCCCCACCTATCACCTTTCCTGGACGGCAAACAGACACACACCTTGGGTGAAATAACAAACAGTGGGTGACAACACAACACACCAAGCAAGATAGTGCACTTTGCTCACAGGGCTTGTTGCTAGGTTACCCTCCTCTGCATGCACACATATACACACACACACACACACACACACACACACCCATTCCCTGGTCTTTGATGATGTCGTCGTTGAGCACCTGTTGCCAGAGTGACAGAAGGCTCTTCTTTAACCGTGTACGTTAAGAGCAGCAGCAGACAATGGAAGAGCAATCATTAACCTGAGGGCTGATGAACCAACACAAACAGGACAAACAGCATGTATCCACTGTACTGCATCGCTAACACTTAACATTTCCATTCTCTAGAGATTTTAAACATCATTGTTGATATTACACAAGAAGCTAAAAAACAAAAACAGACAAGCAGCAGTTCAGGAAGTGCTCACTAAGGTCTTCCCGTACTTCCCCTACAGCTACACTACCTGATGTGTTTATCCCATGCTGGGTGTGTTTCGGAGGCATAAACAACTTCAGTCAATCAAACTCCCTGGTGGCCTTTGGGTTGCGGGCGCCCACCATGAACTCAAACATCTGAAACAACCCAATCTCCCCCTTTCCAATCAGTTCCTATCATCTCTCCCCTGTCAAGCTACCAAAGGAAGACACAAAATGCCCAGATAATAAAAGAAAAACTCAAATCAAACTCTTTAAAGCTTGATGCTTGTGGCTATCTAAGAAAGGCAAACTTTAGGTAAGAAGCCCTATTACTCATGTGTTACAACTATTATCTATCTAAAAACAGTATTATCATTCCAGCATTTGTCATTCATAAGAGGTGGGTTAATAAAAAACCCCAGATTTTTTTTCCTTACATTTCACACAAACACCAAATATGTATGAAACATAAATAGCCTCACGTAATTGGTTATTGCTAAAGGAAGCCTTCTCCCCGCAGGACACAACACCTGTGCATGCATGTGTCTGGTGGGTGCATGTGCAAATAAAAAGCCTTAGCTTAACAGGAGCTCGTGGAAAAGGAGCCACCTTCACTACATGAAGGTTAAAGAAAAAGAGGGGGAACAGTGGGTAGAGCTGACAGACCATGTGCCAGATTTAGGTTTTGTTCCAGTCCTCTGACTTCTAGGCTAGAACAGATGCAAACACTCATTTACACTTTGTATTAAGTTTGTATCAAGTCTTATCCAGAGAGGCATGTAATGAGTAAGGACATCGGGCTTTAGTATCTTGCTTAACAATACTTTGACTGCATTCAGATTGATACTGGCGCAGTGTAAATAAAACACTTCTTTCATTTCAATAAGACCAAAGCATTGACAACTAGGTGTCCCAGGGAAAAACCTGGGGTGTATTACTCTAACTCCATGTCTTCTCTTCTACATGTGTATTGGTGGACAACATAACATAGTTGTGGAGAGAGAACCCTGAAATCTTCAAGTTATAGGTTTAGTTTCAATCCTCTGACCAGCTGCATCCACCAAATGTCAGGATCTTCTTACCTGGTGACACGTGATAAGAAGAGCTGTCCAAACAAAGAAACCCGATATAGTTTGAGCAGTGGAGGTCATGAGGAAAATTGGCTCTTCTTGTGTGAACACTGGGGCTTCTGGTACCAAGGAGGAGTTGGATCCTTGTGGGGCCACAGTGGCTGGGGACCCCGGGGCGAAGCCGACTGGAGAGTCATTCCCCAACCTCTCCGACAGGGGTATGTCTCGCCGCCAAAGTTGACTCATCTGTATGAAGAAAGGGTATAGAGCAGATTTCATCAGTGAAGATGCTCTTTATGTAAATCAGACATATTTAGCTTAGACTTTAAATCAGTACTATGTTTATTTAAGCAACAATCGGTCAGTAACAATCAGCAGTGAGAACTCATATCTGTTATAAAGCCTGAATGAAAATGTGCAAGTGCATTGCAAAAGGCCTGCGTAGTCTAAGACCTAAATCTCAAGCCAACATCCATGTTAGAATGAGAAAAGAGAAGACGATACAGAGCAAAGTAGGACAGTGCACAGATCTACACTGTCTATCCACAGACAGACAGATGAAGGGAGATCAAGGCAGAGGGAGTGTAAAGAGGAGGAATAAGGTAGGTGGGTGAGAAGAGGCTGATAAAGAGTGTAAAAACCAAACACCAGCACACGGTGGGGGGGTGGGTGGGGGGTGGGCTGAATCAGTCAAACACAGCGAATCAGTTTGACAGCAACGAGCTGAGGGCTGCTGACCCAATTTCTCCCCTTCTTTTTCCCTGTGCCTTCCTCAGGGCCGGAAGACGTGTAGTGCAGCTAGAAACGGCGCTAAACACAAACATATTTCTTCAGAGTGGTGAAACACCTTTCCACAAATCCAGAGGTAGAGATTGGAAAGACTGGAGACACCGAGAGGCTTTAGGTATCATATTTTGGGCTTCACTTTTTCTCAATATCCATTGTTAAAAATAAAGCCAACTGCACGGAACTGAACGGTGCGAAACCAACTGAGTTGTCTTTATTAGGTATGTGCTATGTCAGTGCTAATGCTTACACTGCATTTGTGCCCCATCAGTGGAAAGGGAAGATATCACGCCCATTAGAAAACCCCCCCATTCCTCAAAGTATCAACAATGACCTATAATAAGTGTAAATAAGAAAAGTGGTGTGTAACACATAAGTAAGCTGCACAGATTTGGACAAATAAAAACAGTACGGGCCAAACCGGATCTCACAACATCAAAACCATCCAAACTACGCTTTGTGCCCCCCCCCCCCATGAAACCACTGCAGATCTCTGAGTACTGCCTTCTCTTCAACTGCATCAGTGTCTTGGTGTGGATACCAGGAAGGCGATAATCTGATCATTCACAGAAAACTAATTTCACAATGACTTTCACCCCCACTTCCCCCTGTGTACCAGCTAAATATAGGTTCAATACTGGAACTCAACGTGATCACGGATAACTCGCTGCTTGCCAGCTAACAGAAACTAGAAACACATCAGTGAGCGCGTCAGAATATGCTTGACTATTAAGAAAAAGAAACTGCAAGGTAATCAAATTAGGACAGCATAGACAAATTCTACTTTCTGCATACATGGACTGTACCAGGGAGACATAGCTATAATATCAATATACTGTTTTTCACATTTTGAAATTGGTGTAATAAAAGACTGTGCAAGATATCAGCCGTTCTAATTTGTTTCCTTTTCTCTTATTTACTACAAAGCAATCACTCAGCCAAACATCTCACACAATGATTTCTGATACAAGAGCCAGTTCCACATAACCATGCATTTTGATTCGATCAACTTCAAGTAGACTATTTAGCAGCTGTGTAATGTACCACACACTGATATTGAGGTAAAGGTCTTACCATTTACCATGGCACCTTTTTTCTCATATTGCCTGATAAGTAAGCAAATGGATTATCTTTATTTATTTACCAAGCAAGAATGGATGTATGTAAATGAGTCAAAACAGTTTGTCTTTATTAAAGATTTTAAAAATAATAATAAGAATGTTCTAGGTATTCTCTGAGAAAAAATGAATATGGGGTGAGGTCTGTTTTTATTATACAGGCGCACTGGCGATGATCACAAGCACCAGCCTCAGCTACACCTACAACAACAGGGCTCGGTGCTTCCCAGTGGGCCACAGACAAGAGAGAGAGAGAGAGGCAACTCATCAATCCTGTTCACTGCACCCGTGGGCAGGTTTCAAAACATGCATTGTACTTTGACCTCAATCGAATCAGCGGTGTTTGTGACAGACCATCATAAGTCCCCAGGCTAGGAGAGCTGCATCACACATACTGTAAAAGCATCAGGCCATTAAGGTCGTGTTCAATCAGAGGCAGTGAAAACAACTGGGCTACTTAGCATTGACCACAACTCGTTTTAGTTGAGCTGAGTGGAGCTGTAACAAATCACTCAAAATAACGACAGAGCATGTTCAACCTCTCTAACAGTGTACACACAAAGCCGTGCTGCGTTTTTAGAGAAAGGGTGACATCATATGTAATGTAAAATCAGCTGGGGGGGGGAATATTTACCTCAGCTGATTTTAATAGTGCGTTGAGACCGGCTACGAGTTGAGAAAAACACACTAAACAGAAAATAATGGTAGCCGTTGTTCAGTGTTCATGACTCCATCCTGCTGCTTTACTTACCTCCGCTGCAGTTGTTTGATCAGCGCTGGTTTGAATCCAAGCATCAATTTAGCTCATCATCTCAAGGCGACCGCAAACCTCCTGGAGTTCAAAAAGTTATTTGGGCCAAGCGCTAACCTTCAGACTACAGCCAGCCACTTATTGTGATCACTGCATCGTTGTTTGAACCCCGGAAACCTGTCTCTTTTTATAAAGCTGGAAAGTGTCGGCAGCTGAGCCGTAACTACGCCGAGCGCTGTTAGCTAACGTTAGCTAGCCTCCCTAGCCTGGCGCTAGCTTGCTGTGGATTCTCCCCGTAAAGTCAAAACACAGAAATATAACACGATTTAAAGAAGCGACACAATTACAATGTTTAAAAAAAAAGTCTACAACAAATTATCTTGCCATTTCCCATCCAATGCTGATGAACCAGATACCGTTACTTCATCCACATCACCACCAACAGTTCACTGTACGGACAGCAGCAGATGCCAGTAAGTACTCCGCTCCTGGCGCATGCGCAGTCACGTCGTTTTAATTTTCAGGTACTTTGCCATTAAACATGATATAAACTTTGTACAGGGAAGTGCACTACATATGCTGTTGTGTTTGAAACCCACCCGAAACAAACAAAAAAACAAACAAAAAACAAAACAACAAATACAAAAAGAAAAGAAGTTTATAGTTTATGAACTCACACAGCAAAAAGCAAGAAGCAAAAAGTTGTGAGCAACGTTATTCATTTTTATTACTTCATAAAATATACACAAATACTGTTGTAAATAAAGTGTGTTAAAGAACTGTACAAGCTATCAGTACACAATACATAAAGTGAAATCCCCATTGCCACAGCCTCTTCTATACCATCCCCAACCCGACAGTTACAATGCCACTGGGTCATGGTGGCCTGTACAAAGGTAATTACACACAGTATACTGCTATTTACACATCCCTGCAATTGCATCAGCTGTTTTCTTCTGAATGACATCATCAAGGTTGCTGGAGGTTAAAATTGAAAGGTGACATCAAACTATTGGTGTATCATTTTTGCAGAAGGAATATTGAAAGCCCTATGTATTACATGGAGGTGGACAGACAACCTTTGAGGCGTAACAGAAGAACAAAGAGATGATAAATGATAAAGATAATTCTAATAAGTTATAGGACAATGAAATGAAACAGAAATAAGAGAATAAAGAATGGAAAGTTATTTCTGACAAATAAAAAATAGTTTAACATAAATACTAAAGAGAACAATGATAAAAACAATCTGCATACAAACACAAACAACGACAACATGAATCTTGTATTCTGAGCAGGGATTCACCGTTTCACTTTCTCACACACACACTCTCTCACGCGCGCGCACGCACACACACACACACACACACGGAGACAGACACACACAAACACAAACACACAAAATGTCGGATGACCCAGCTGGCAAAGCAACAGTAGCCCATCCCACAATACTAATAGCTAAACTTCTGAACCCAGCCCCTATTTTAGTCATTAGTATGCATTTTTCTACTTTACATCTTAAAACAAATAACCACATTTTGGCTTTACATCAAAATAAAAAAAAAATATTTACAGTGAAGTAAACATTTAAAAAAAAAAAAAAAAAAAAAAAAAAAAAAATCATTGGATGCCCCACCCCCCAAATGTAATCCCTATCAGAGCCTCCCCACTCCCCAATAACCTCCAATAACAAAAGAATAAAAAAGGTAACATTAAGAAGTATCATAAAAATTGCAGCCACTATTTGTTAGCCAAAATGGGCAGCTATGGTCTCTGGTCAAATACTCTGAGAATTTCCTGAGGAGCTTCCCTCAAGACTTGGGAGTGCGTCTTTGCAATATCTATGGTCATTCTTCACCTTACCCGCTCACATTAAAATCGAACAAAAACACAATTTAAAAACAGGCAAAATATAAGGGCGGTGGAGGTTTTGGTGGCTGAGTTTTGAGGGACAGTACATCATCACAACATAGATGGATGAAGGGCAAGCAGGGACCAATTGCTACTTCACCAGAGACATTACTCTACAACAGCTAAAACATCACTTACTTATCCTTTCAAAGTTATCTTTCTTTTTGTCCACTACCCTCTCACCTATCTCTCCCCACCGACCTCTTCATCTTTTAGCTGTTACTTCTTTCAAAAACGCAAAAGAAAGAAAACCCATAACAAGCTCCAATCTAAGATGTCCTCATGAAAGATAAAAAGAGACGACATTCACTGAAAAGTTGTTTTTGCTGTGTTAAAACTGAAAAAGATAAATCTTTACTAAGCCTATATCAATCACAAAGTTGACCTTTGAGGAGAAACATGCGTGTGTCCCCGATACCTTTTTGCTTCTTTGATGCCAAAAGTTCCTTCACATTTGTCAGACAGAAGGTATTGAGGGAATGCTTCAAGGAAGAGGGGAGCAGGTATGAGCAACCATGGAGTAACAATGGTGTAGCACTGTCCTTCATTTGCTTTTTGTGATCCAGGGTTCAGCAAAGAGGGTTCATGAAAGAGTGCATGTTGGATGCTGTCATGTACTTCCCTGGATCCTTTAAAAATGTACTGTCCTTTTCCAAATATCCACGTGTCCATTGGCAATTATCTTGAAATAAGACCAGGTAGAAAATAAAAGGAAAACAAACCGGAGCGAAGAATATACCTTGCAGCCCTGCAACAACAAGTACATTGTTAGTTATCAGCAGAGAAAGCAACGTACTGGTGATGTATTTCTGCGGTCGGCACGTGAAGAAATGAGTCAAACTAGACCTCACCTGTCAGTTTCATGTGCATGCAGAGCCAAAGAAGTCTACTTTCCCATGTGCTCGAACGGCACGCTGACCTGCAAAACAAAACAGAATTAGACTCAAGAGGAAGAATGCTGAAAAAGAAAATGCTGTCGTAATATTAATTCAGTCCAAATCACCCACTCCTCTTGTCTTTGTGAGTCCAACTTTACAGCTACAGTTGAGTCACATCACTCAGAAAGAGGTGGAGGTCCTGCTGTGTGTAAAATGTTTTTTCCAGCATAGGCGGGTTTTCTCACCTGTGATGTGGAAATTCTGGACTGGTCGTGACGGGCTGTGAGGTCAGAGGACGATACGTTTGCAGGAGCCCCACGGTGAAGCCTCATGCTCACCTTCCTCTCCCTCTCTGCACGAGAAATTGCACGTGGCGACGTGTTGCCTAAAATGATGCATAAAATTAAGAGCTGACCACATCTGATGCAGATATTCAAGAAGAAAAAAATATCAGCTACCTGTCTTTTAATAACAGAATATTGTTATGAAATGACAGGTAGCAGGAGTTTGAGACTTCAGCAAGAACTCACCAGACTGCTGGATCCGTGAGGCAGGGTTAGAGATGGCCTGCTCTGGCCCGTTCCTGACTCTGTTGGGAGCTCCAGGGTTGGGACCTGGAGGGAGGCCTCGCGATGCAGACCCCCTGGGGGCTCCTCCGATCCGCTCATCCCTCTCATCTCCCGTTCTCCTCTCCCGATCCCCGTCCTCAGCTGTCCGACTGGCACCCTGATGGATGAGAACAGCCACATTAAAGCTTATCCATTGACCAAAAAAACAAAAAAAAGCTTTAAATTATCTGTACTATATTGTAAGCTGTGAGATTTATGAGCACTGTGATGAAAAAGAAACAATACTTAAAACACTTTGTCATAAACTTACAAATTTGAGCATGTTCCAGTCAAAGACATAATCATAGGAGAAGCCCTGTCGGTGGAACAGATTCCTGAAGAGCTGTCGTAGGTACGAGTAGTCTGGCTTGTCATCGAAACGGAGTGAACGGCAAAAATTCAGGTATGTGGAGAACTCAGCTGCAGGAGAAACAGTAATGAGGACAAACTCAGATTACACACAAACACAACATCACTGAATGGGTAGTAACCTCCGACTTTGTGATTAGATAACATGTGCATTGTTAGGGTTCAATTCCATACGGAGGAAACCCAATACAGCAGCTGCAGATAATGTCACAACCCAGGGTATGTTGCAGCCCCAGTTCACAGAGGCGACACAGAAACTTCACTTACAAGGATATCCTTTGCAAAGAACCTCGATGGGCGTGGACATTTTCTTCTCACTGATTCGTTCGTACTTCTGTCTCTTGGTCGCAGCCTTGAGGCCCTGCCAGGGGAGGGAGCCCAGGTTGAAGTACATGAGCACATAGCCGAGAGACTCCAGGTCGTCACGCCTGGACTGCTCTGTGGACAGAAAGCACGGACAGTTCATGTGAGAGTGAGTGAAAAAGCTGAGGGATATCCACTTAGTTCCATAACAAAAGGACCATTGACCCAGACCCTGTTTACAGTTTTTAAAAGATAAAACCCCCGACTTCTTCAACCATGTGTCTCTAAGGAATTATAGCAAGTTACAGGGTTTAGTGGTTTGTAATGGACACAGTTAACAGATGAATAAAATACAGCTCATGTCGTCAAAAACTGAAAAGGCCTATGGGTTTTATTCAGCAGACTTTTTGTGATACTGGGTTGTAGTGATCTTGTAAACTGGGAATATGTCACAATTTAATTTCCTCCACATGATTGCAGATGGAAAACTAAAAGAAATATAATTAGTTTAGCCATATATGTGGCTCAACTATTCTATTCAATATTACCAATTACAAATATCGATGTGTGAAAGATAATGGTAGCGTAATGAGGTCATTTTTTTGCATGATGTGTGGTTTGCATTTCATCCAGACTGCTCATTTCCTGATGACATAAATAAATAATGTGGCACTTCTTACTGCGGAGCTTGTGTCGCCTGTTAATCAGACAACACTTGAAATGAACCTTGTTTATTGAGGTAAAATAACAGCTGTTTCTATAAAACACTATTTTAAGTGTAACCAAGGTACGGACATTACAGCACTTACTGGTTGATTAAGTTTCACATTCAAATTGGTGCATTCATACTTTAACACTCAAAACACTGACTTCTGAAACTGCTAAACTTTTACAACAGAGACAGTTATATCCTTTCAGAGCTTGAGCTCATGTCCTGAACCATCCGTCACTCTCACCTTTGTCCCTCCAGTTAGTATCTAACCCAAAGTCAATATTATAAAACCCAAATACATCAGAGATAAATAACTTGCTGGGTCTGCAACTGTTCAGCTAGTACACTGTAATGAGATAGGGGGATGTGTTTAAATGGTTAGCCATATAAAAATGCTCTGCAGCACGTCTTATAGAACATTACACTGAAATGACAACACCACCACCACAGGCCTGTTTTCTATCCCACTTGGCATTTCCTTTGTTTTCTCCATCGTGAGCTCTGTTCCTTTGCATCCGCTAAACAATCTGATAAGGTGTGTATAAACAAAAACACTGATAAAGAGAGGAGGAACGTCGAAGATCAAACAGAGTAGAGCTAGCTGAGCACCAGTAAGAACTACAGATTAAAAAAAAAAACAAAACAAAAAAAACAAAGCAATATGTTCTTCCACAGAAGGGATAAAACTGATTAAAGTAAAGATTCCAGAGACAACTGATGACTGGCTGGCTGATGATCTCATCATAAGCCAGCTCCGATGCATCACACATTAAACATGGCGTTTAGAGGCGGCTGTCAAAGTGGAGCAAGTGTGTCACCCTGATGGAGCAGAAGACACGCGACTTGAGCTGCCTGTCACTCATGGCACCAACGAACGGTTACAAATCTCATAACTTCTTCTCCATTTGACTGCAGGACTGTTGTATTTCTTTCTGCTTTAGTCTAGATTATCCACTTTCAGACACTTGGACCTCAGTGGCATGGCGGCTAGACACAGAATGTAAACAAACACGAATCACAACAAGTCTAATAAGGGCTTTCTAGTACTAACAGAACTGCCTGAGAACATGTGACTGCAGTACTGTGTTGTGAGGAACCTTATCCAATCTAATCTAGCACCAGTTCTTGATACCCCACATGCACACACACACCATCAAAAAACAGTAGGCAAATCAGTTTTCATCAGCGATCCACCTTACCAATTCCAAGATGTGTGTTGATGGAGGCGTAGCGTGCCGTGCCAGTCAGGTTCTTGTTCTCCCTGTAGGGGATGTGCTGGTGTGTGCGGGCATCACGGTACTTTTTGGCCAGGCCGAAGTCAATGATGTACACCAGGTTGCCCTTCTTGCCAAGCCCCATTAGGAAGTTGTCAGGCTTCACATCCCGATGGATGAAATTCTTGGAGTGGATGTACTCAATGCGACTGATCTGCAGAGCACAGGTGAGACAAAGAGTGATCAAACTGTCAGGTTTCTGCAACACAGAACATGGCGGAGGCATGAATAGAGTTCACATCGTCACATTTTACATGCTGTCAGGCCAGCGCTTTCCTTGTGTAGTTTTCTAAGTTCACCAAGCAGCAGTAAGAGCACTCAATGCATCAATACCTTGAACAAACTAAAGCAAAGAGGTCAAGGGAGGACAACAAGATATATGGAGACAGGACAAGAAGGTGATGACCCCAGGCTTTAAGTGGAGAGTCATACACCCATATAGAGGACTGACACAGCAACTTGGCTGCAGTTAGAACAAAAGGTTTGATGAGTTGTGCTTGAGAGAGCGATCCATGAAATGAAATATCTAGGCCAGGACAGGCCAAGCAGAGGCCAGAACTCTGCAGCACAGTGGATGCACGAGAGGAGCGGAGACCAAAACATTTATAATCTTTAAGCAAGCCTTAGGGGAATCATGTCCAATGTTGATGTACATGAGCCTGCACCAACAAATAAGTTATCCAGGTCATGCACATGACCCAGTAGGATTTAAATACTACATCTCTGTAATCTGCTCATAAACAGAGCAGTTTCGTAAAGTGAGATCTTAAGTGAGGGGACTGTGAAAGTGCCCTAATTATAACCGCCCTAGCTTCATGCAGAGACAGGACATACCATCTGGTCTGCCAAAAGCAGGACGGTCTTCAGGCTGAACTTCCGGGAGCAAAAGTTGAAAAGGTCCTCCAGGCTGGGACCAAGCAGCTCCATTACCATCACGTTGTAGTCTCCCTCGGCACCACACCACTTTATCGATGGAATTCCAACTAGAATACAAGTTTGTTCAACCTGTTATTACTGGCACAGCTACAATTGATATTGTTTGGCATGTAGCAAATATTATGTGATACACAAATCACATTTTAAACCGAGTGAGTTTTACACAAGATAATTACATAGAATTAGCCTTTCTCAACTGAATTAAGATGGAATTACATGTTAAAAAGTTGAGAAAATAACAGTCCTTCAGGCATTTGTCGAAAGAATTCATTGCACATATTTCCTGCAGGCTTAGTCTGGTATCTGCATCAAGAATATTATCTGTGACAAAAAAAATTTGATAAGGAATGCGTTGAAAAATCTTGCAGAGCATGTCAAAGCTGTATTCACTTCTTACCTCCTCCTTGCATCATCTTGTAGAACTTGCTTTCAATGTGCAGTTGTGGGTGTTTGGTCTTCACACATTCAAGCTTGATGGCTACCTCCTCACCGGTGGCAATGTTGGCACCTGAGGACACACACAGACACACAGACACAGACACAGACACACACACACACACACACACAGAGACAGACAGACAGAGACACAGACACACAAAATAAAAATACAACCACAGATGTAAGAGCCAGTGATGGATGAACATGAAGGAAAATCAGATTCAGTGCCCCAATTAAAAAGGCAAATTAATGGTATAGTATGAAAATAGACTGTCTAGCAACTAATGTGGAAAGAACCTGAACACAGGACAAAAATGGAAAGTTGGGTAAGTCATGCAAAAACAGAAAAACTTTGTCTATTTCCACTTACCAAGGTAAATGTCTCCAAAAGAACCACTCCCTATTTTTCGGCCGAGCCGGTACTTGTTCCCCACTCTCAGCTCCATGGTTTCAAGTCGTCACTGTCACAAACAGACAAGCACAGCTACGGTTAGAGGAAGGCAAATGACACATGACACCAGGCTGGTTTGCCTGCGCTGCACCTCTTTACTCTCACCACCGACTCTGAAACATCATAGAGCAGTAAAACTCAACTGAATATAACAAGACTGTTTCCTGGACTTTCCCTGAGCGGTAGAATGAGATGAAAAGATATCCTCAAGAGCCAGTCAGCTGCTCACATGATGAACGTCAGTGGCAGACATGCTGAACTGACCACGTGTTTGTGTGAGAATGTAGCCTAAGCAGGGCTAGTTGATCAGCAAACAGCTGTCTGGCCTCCAGAAACACACGATTAGATGTGTAGGGTGGCTGAGAGGGGGAGGTGGTTGCATTGAGATCCAGCAAACACAGGGAAAGGAGGAGAAAGAAATACAGCAACAATGAAGGCTACACAGACATGCTAGTTGCTGCTTGGAAGAGGAGTGGATCAGAATCGACGGCTGCATCAGGACTGCGACTTAGCACACACACATGCACATGCACACACACGAGGAAATGAAGTGTATCTTCTGAGCTGAACTGCACGTGACGCTGGAGCAGGATCATCATTTATTTAGCACTCGCCCCTACCACGCCACATTGTGCAGCCACTGCAAAAGCAAGACTAAGCTCTCCACTGTTCTGCGCTGGCACTGCCAAGGGAGGGAAGGCATGAGCAGCCGCGGAGCGCTGGCTTGACTTTATCTGTGTCAAGGCCCTCAGACAATTCTGTGCAATGAACTTCAGAAAGCAAAGTGCTGCAGAGAACGCATCAGCGCATTTATCAAAGAGATTTACTTCCTAACCAGCAATTTTGGGTACACCATGTAAACAAACGGTGCCCTTTATAGTAACAGTGGCCCCTTGTTCCAAATGTAGCACAGCTGTGTCTTCAAATAGCACTTCTAGTCAGGCTCTGAGCTATCAAACAAGTTCATGTCACGTGCCCTATTGACAATTCACCAGGGAAATATATGAAATCAACCGTGTCATCTTCCTGTGTTGCACTTTGAATGATCTGAATCTACGTGCTCTATAGACATGAAAACAGTCTCATGACGACATGACGACAACTCAGAGAAATTTCAAAACAAAGCGTTCTCAGACAACCTCAGTTTTGCGGGCGCGCCAAATCAAGCGAGCAAGAACAGTCATCACATCTGCAGAACTAGTCCTCTGTATTCAAGCTGCTTACATCCAAAACAGCCTTTATCTCAACATACATAGTTACTTTGCTCGACTGTAAACGGTGGAATAAATAAACCTACAGCTGAAGACACCAGCTCTGTTCTAAAACAACAGTTATGTCTTTCATCTTGGATAATCTGATCTTGTTAAACAATTACAACTTGAACAACTTGCCTCATTTTAAGTGAAAACATCAACTGACCCAAAATACTGTAAAAACACAGGCCCTGCACCTCTTTGTCAATTGTAGCTGATGAGAGGACGGCCTGCCATGGTAGATGTGACGGAGGCAGATGGATTTGGGTTAATAAAGGGTTAGGTTTGTCTCATGTGATGCCATCAGGAACCTGATTTAGGGAGGGCCACACTGTGCTGTACGTGCCATTGATTAATTACTGCTCCTCTAAAGACTGTGCCCATATGGTTTTCAGTTGCCTAATGTGTTCTTTCTAAAAAAGATTTACTAAGGGAGGAGTTGGTATTTGCAAATACGAGAATGACACTTGAAGAATGTATAAATTTGTGTTTTAAAATTGGCCTGTGTAAAGAGTAGCAGGTGGTAACAGTCTGTCAAGAGACTCCATGTGCTATTATGGTAGTAGTCGCCTAAAAGACAGTGGATTGGTTAAAGCAATGCTACAGCACATAACTGTAGGGTCGGGAGGGGGGGGGGTCGGTTGTGGAGTCAGGATGTCCCAAAGTGTGGTAATTCTGTACGTCTTTACATTAGTCAGACGCACTTGTGCAGAAAAAGGTTCCTGCGTGGAAGTGACAAAATAAGTCCGAGAGAAAAACAAGTGTCAGAGACTCGAGGATTTCACAATCACATGAAGAACTGAGCACTGCTACGCCTCTGGCACTCAGGCAGCTGTCACTCCACAGCCAACTCGTGTGTTACAGGGTCGACACCAAACCCATGCTTTATTATAACAATAACTCAACTGAAATATTATTATGCGTTTTGTTCGGGTAATGTAATGGCAGATGTCCCGGTTGTATTTTTATATCCTGGTTGCAAATCGGCGAGACACGAGTCAATTAAGATTAACGTTACTAGAGCATAATATCTGCTATAATATTAAATTTAATGGCATCTGTTAACAGTTATAATGTTCAGAAAGACCCCCTTTGTATAAATTACAGACGGTAGTAACGCTAGTGTGAGAATAAATAAATACCAAGCGCGAGCATTAACGTTAGTAAAGTGTTAGCTGCTAAGAGTAAGCTAGTGGAGAAACGTTAACCGAACCGTGATACGTACTGCACCATAAATGTGTTCAAAATTAAAAGAAGCTGTAAATGTGTGGTTATATCGCACTTCGCCACATTTTGTATTATAGTTACAACCGCACCCATGTACCGGACTAGCCTGTGTAGATAGCCATCCTTACTACTCGCCCCCTCCCCCTCTCCCGTAAGCCGTGAATACGAGACTCTAATTCGGCCGAATCAGGCCCCTTTTCCCCCTTGGTTTCTCCGGTTCCCCGACCCAACACTCACCCGATATTGGGTTCGTCCGATAGCTGCTTCGGTGGAGGTTCTGATCCGATGGTTGTCAGTCGGACAGGGGCCTGGGTAGAGGAGGATGGGAGCGGATTCTGGCGGCTTTCATACCCCCAGCTCTTAGCTCTGTTGTCGGTTGCACTCCCTGTTGATAGTCCCTGAGAAGCTCCAGCAGCACGAGCGGCCGTTCTCCACTCGAGTCTGTCTCCCCCTCTCGTTACTTAACAACACGCCCGTTCACAACGTCGATGATGTCATTCCCTGGATGTCAGGGCACAGTCATTAAAGAAAAACGTCACACGCAACTGCTCCTTCCTCCATAAAATGATTGACCGGTGATTAATTTGTGTATTTGATTTATATATTTTTTTAATTATTTAAATTTGTTATCATTATTACATCTACTTTTTGTATTTTATGTCATTTGATGGGTTTTCTATTTGATTGTTTATATTTTTCTCTGTACACACACACACACACACACACACACACATATATATATATATAAAAATATATATATGTTAAATAATTGTGTATATGTATATGCATGTATGTATGTGTTTGTATACTTTTGCATATTTGATATACCTCATGTCTGAAATTTGAATTTGTGCAATGTTCAATAAAAAGGAGGGAATAAAAGCAAATATATATATATTATATATATATATATATATTCACTAATTATCAAGTTTGTAATTGTTATTTTTGAGTTATAATTCTGTTTACAAAGTGAATCTGGGTGTGTTGCTTATGTTTATCATGCAGTACAGTAACAAACATATCAAGTTTTAATATCAGAAAATGTAACAACAACAATAAAAATAATTATAATATTTTGTCCACTTGTGGTCAATATTTGTCAGTTGGTACATGCCAAGTGTCTCCCACATGATGTCCTGACAAGCATGAAATCTCACTTTTCCTGCAGTACACACCTGCATCGTCTGTGACTCAATTTGAAGCCCAAACTATCCAGGATTAATGGTCCTGTCACAAAGTGTTGAGAAATCCTTTAAATCGGGGCTTTTATCTCTGGACAAAAGAAGTGGTCTGTAATATTGTTTCTGTGGGGAACGGTACCCACTTCACACAGTGAGAACTCACAGTTGCACCAGAGAAGGAAAATAATTTCATACAGTAAGCAGTGGCTTACAGCAGGATGACGTGGGTGTTAAATAGGATTGGTTTGTGGATGGTAATGAGAGGGTGACAGATGGACATCCTGGCTTGTTTTGTTGTGGCCCAGTCTCTGAACAGTCATTCCACCTTAATGTAGTTTCTTTGACATACTCATCACTGTAACATCAGACATCAACAGAGGAACAGGCAAGGACCAGTTTCAAACTATGACTGGATCAACATGGAAAAAAACTTCAAAGTGCTTTTAACCCAAATCCAGAAACCTGGGTTCACACACAAAATAAATTAGAAAAATGAACACAAGGGCAAATTTAGAAGCCAATACTTTCATCTTTATTAATCTTGTTCTCATTTGTTTAAATAAATTTTTCCTTTGTAAAATCTCAAAACGAAAACACTGAACAGGAGTGTTAAAGCCTGTCTTAATTTAAAACGAATACACAACAACAGAACATTAAAAACGTACGGTAACTCTTACTCTGCATCTGTAAACAACCCGTCCCACCCCTCCCTCCCACTCCACACAGTTTGATAAGATTTGGCATGTCCATTTTCTCAACGCGTATGCCTTCAGCTCTTTGTGTCATTAAAATGTTCTTTTTTTTTTTTTTTATTATTGCAGGTCGGACAATAAAAAAGACAAGTCTGCTAAAAAAACAACTTCAAATGAGAAAAAAGCATTAGTGCCAATATTTCTTAACACACAGTCAGCAGTATATCGAATGCACTCAAAACATTTTGTATAGACCTTCTGTATAGTAAGCAGCCTTGCCCACATTATGACAGGCAGTAACATGCACACACACATTATCCTCACATTCACACACACGCACAACAACTGTGGTGGTTTAATCCACTTACTTGGTCTCAGTCTCACTCATACTCATGTCCATATAATGTGTATGACACTGCGCGCAGTATCGACACATGGAGAAATGCAACATAGCCTCAAACTGCCAGCAATTTAACATTTATCACTGCAACAGTAACAAACATGTTCAAGAGAGAATAACAGAGAAAGAGTGCGTGAGATACAACAGTAGGAGGTCAGCATTTTGAAAACAGAACAATGACATTTTTCAATATTTTCACTGTTCAAAAATTAAAACCATACATACAAACAAACAGAAAAACAAACTTAACATACACAGTAAGTTACAGTTCTGTTGTCAATCAGAGCTGTTTGCATGTGTTTGGATTCGGTCTCCATCTTTAAGGGGACGTGAATACAAACTGCACTTTAACCTCACATCATGTAGTAGTTTTAAGTTCTCTTATACGATGAAGGTAATGCTGTTTACAGTGCCCATCTGTCTGAAGGCTTGTCTGTATTTGGTGTGTGCATGTGTATGTAAATCTGCTGAAAAGTCCCCTATTTACTAAGCACATAGCAATCCAGTCAAGTCTTTCAGACCAACTGACTTTTCATTCTTTTTCAGGTTTCAAGTCTAAGCAGTTGAAATCTTCATCTGTGGAAAAAGGCTGTATACACATCTAACAGTCCCTGCATTTGTTTATATAATAGCTTAAGTCTGGCCACAAGAATGTGTGTAAGCATGTCTCACATTTCTGCTTTGTGTGTGTGCACATTAATATGCATACCATGTATATGTATGCACATGTGGTATATGTGTAGTACATTAATATGCATACCATGTAAATGTGTTTGTGTGTGTGCTATAGTAAGTACATATGTATCCCAGTGTATGTTGTATCAGTGTGTCCAAACCTACACGTACAAATGGAGGGGGCTCATCAGATGGAATCAGCTCCTCCTCCCAGCAGGTCGCCAGGTAACAAAGCGGCAGGGCTGTCCATTTGGTGCCTTTCCTCCATTTGCGGTGCCCCCCACAGGCTGCTGCTGGGGTATCCAGCAGTCATGCCCCCCCAGAGCCCAGACCTCCCAGCCTCTACTCCCCCGACACCTCCTCCCTCCCCAGACCCATTGGTGCTCCACTGGGAAAATATCCCCAGCCCAGGTCCTTGGGCTGAAGAGGTTTCTGAAGAACTGCCTGTACCATCAAGACTTTGCCAACCAGAGCCGGAGGACCGCACACTACTGAGAACCGCTGCTCCACTTTCCCCTCCTCCACCACCATTTCCATTTCCACCTGAAGTTGTGCCCGCTGCCGCCCGCTCACTCCCTGGGGAGCTGCCTCCACTGCTGGCCACAACGGGGCCTGTTCCAGATGAGCCCTGCGTCCCACCGGCCGCGGCCCCTCCTGAGCTGGCTCCCTCCGCCCCTCCGGCCTGGGAATGTGCAAAATAGCGAGCGACTTCTTCCTCACTCACGAACTCCGCCAGGATTGTGGTGTTGCCCAGAACACACCTGAGAGGAAGAGACAAGTCAAGGCTCTTTAGATCAACAACAACGTGTGCAATGTTAAGTATATGTGTATTAGTGAGGTTACAGGTTAACCTACATGTGCAGTGCACCCTGGGCCTTGGCTGCTTCCTGCCGGCTGCTGTAGCGAATCAGAGCACTGCCCTGGGTCAGGCCGAGGTGGAAGGTCAGCAGGGGGCCATGCTGCATGCAGATAGTCCTCAGTGTGGAGCCATCGATCTACAGAGAAAGCATGATAAAGGTTAAGTGTAAAAGATTTAGTGTGTGTGTGTGTGTGTGTGTGTGTGTGATGTCACAAAGCTAGAGTAATTGTCCGCAATCTTGAGTCATCAATTATGGGGACAGAGAAAGGTCAGGGAATCTAGGAGGTTTCACAACGATAGTTATGTGTATGAAGAATCCTGAATTAATAAATAATTATGGTGAGACTGAACACTGTGGCTTTATTGGTCCGTAATCCTGTTACAGTAAGACAGTCATATGAGCCTGTTTACAACAGCACTGATAAGACCAAATTGATAACGGTAAAAAACAAAACCTATATGCCTAAAACAAAAATTTGTCCAGACTTATAATTAAACATTCTCTTTTCATTCCTTTTCGCAGGGCAGTGTCATGCCACTGTCATTTGTACAGACCCTAATTGATTAAATGGCTCATCCAACTTCACAATCCAATTACAGATGGGTCACGCATCATTCTGTCTAATTTGCATAAGACAGACTGAAGGGGAATACAGATGAATGAGCACAGAGGTTTAATGCTTTTCGAATTCAAACCCTGACCAGTCTGTCTGGGAAGCTGTTTTACTTTACAGCCATGACAAATTCTGCTGTGATGAAGGGTTTTAAGAACATTGTAATTCTACGCTGCTCGTACAGTTTACTTATGTCACATCTTTACCTCACCCTTCTGCGTCATTTCAGTTTACAGACAGCAGGTTTACTAGCGGTGACAGTGATAACAATCTGAGTTCACTGTTGCTACAAAATCCCTGAAAATTGTCCCTTTAGTATCTTTAGTCTCACTCCTTCACCTGAGGGGTCAGGTTGCTCAGCAGCAGCCAGCAGCTGCCTCTGGAGGCCACACCATCGCTCCAAGCTGAGCCTTCAAAAGACAAACAGAAAAGAAGACAAGAATGAAACAATTGGAGGGATGTTGATGACAAATCAGGTTACACTGATGTTTTACCTTATTTACATAAAGACAACTTTAATACTTGGTTTCATGATACTGAAAAGATTTCTCTACACAGTATATGCAGCAGTTAAGTGATAAGTTGACAAATGGTTATGAAATAATCAAATCTTTTCTCGTAAACAGTACCTGGCCCAAATCTCGACTCTTGATTCATCCCACCTCCTCCCCAGCTCCGGGCCAACCGTGGGCCTCCACTGCCCCATGGGGAGGGCGAGGCCTGCTTCTGATTAGTTAAGCCAGGAGGGGGGCGTGGCAGCTGCGAGCTGTTGCGATTGGTCTTCCATAACTTGTTTTGTCCGATGGGCTCTGGGGGCCAGCTGGGCTTGTACTCCGAGTACTTTCCTGAGGAGGATATGGAGAGGGTGGGAGAAAGAGGGGGAAAATGAGTTTTGACAAACAAAACTGGGAGTGGAGAGGACACAGAAGAGCTAACTCCTGAGGCATCTGTGCAGAAAAGACAACTTGTACAGCAGTAAAACTCATCACCAACACAATAACAGTAACAGAAATAAA